GCACACGCGGACACGCGCACACGCGCGCACGCGCAAACGTGCACACGCGCACGCGCGCGCGCGCGCGCACGCACGCACGCACGCACGCACGCACCCACCCACCCACCCACACGCACGCACGCCAGTACGCACGCACCCACACACCCACACCCACACCCACACCCACCCACACACACACACACACACCCACCCACCCACACACCCACCCACCCACCGCACGCACGCACGCACGCAGGCAGGCACGCACGCACGCACGCACGCAGGCATGCATGCATATGTTCAGTAGGCAATCGCAAGCGGCCCAACGAGTTGCGCCAGTGGAATCAAGCAGGTTTTCAACAAAGCAAGGCGGAATTGCGTTTGGTGTACTGAGTTGGTACTGAAAAGCTGCGACTCTCCTGCCGGGGGAAGGAATGACAGTCACGTACGCGAGGGTGCACCTCGAATGCCGCCAAATTACATAAGCCATATGTATATATCCATGTATCTTTCTCTTATATATATATATAGACATGTATCTTTCTCATTCTTCGCGAAGAAACAAACCACCAGTACGTTCGCGGTTTCCCGGCTTCAGCGCCACGCGTTTTTCAATCGGAGTCAGAAAGGCCGCTACCACCGTGGCGCGCTGCTGCCGCGCCGGCGGCGAGCACCGCTCCGAGGTTGGATCGAGGGGTGCCAGGGGTGGTCCGCTGACCTTCGCCGAAGCGTGCGACTCGTGGGTTCTTCACTCTCTCTGGAGAACGATCGGAATTGAATCCAGAAACAGATTCGGCAGAAGTCTGCATCAACCGGACCGCATGTTGGCTCATGCTCCAGCTGTAGATTTAGGCACCGCGTGCTGCTCTCTCTCACACAGGGCTGTGTTCAGCAAGTTCCAAGGCACAGCATTTGCGATGCACGTCTGGCACCCCGGGATTTTATCAAAGCATGCACCGCCTGTGAAATCAGCAGCCATCGTTTGTGGCAAGGCCCCAACATAGCTGCCCAGCCTTTCAGACAGATGGCCGCGCTGAGCAAGGTGCCATGGAGGAGGTTCATGAAGGCCCGCGGCTTTTGTTGACAGCTCATTTGCATTCCCGCGTCGCAACTTCAATGACTTACCTGAGGTTGACAAGTAAGAACAAAAGTTCAGAATGTTTGCACGGTGTGACGGAAGGACGAGCTGCAAGAGAGGAGTCACGGAGATTGATCCTCCGCAACTTGGACATGCGTTTGGTGCTTGAAACTACGTGGCCGCATTGAAAGCCTTGGCTTGAGTGGTATTCCTCATGATTTCCTCAACTACGAGGCTGCAGCCTAGAGAAAAACATGAGCCACTGGGCTCGCGCGAATCCCAAAGTTCTGCAACTGAGAACGTCCCAGTTGCCGAGGTGCGCCTGAGCCGGAGGAGGTGTGGCCCTGGAAATGGCTGAAGCTTGGCACCTTCAGATCAGTCGAAGCAGATTGAACAAATGCAACTCAAAAGGGAGGGCCATGGTCCTTGGTCCAAGGGCAAGCTGGTGAGAGACTGGTGACTCCTTGTCTTCGGAAGTGCAGCCCTGTTGCAACTTGCACACCATCTAGCAAAGAAGCAGATAGTAACCGAGAAACCGATGAGCAAGCGAATCTGGATGCAGAGCATCTTATTCCGGTTTGTTTTGGCAGACATGGCAAGAGAAATGGCATCCGTGCCAAGCCTGCTGATGATTCGCATCGTGGAGGTACATCAACTTACTTGGGCGCGGCAGGAGCCAGATCCGTATTTGCTTTCCAACCACACAGATGCATGACATGATATACCGACAGCCTTCCCCAATCCGCTGCGATTCCCATTCCATCGCCCTCCCAACCGTAGCTCCAAACAAACCAAGTCCGCCTGGCAAAAGTCGGAGCCACTATGGCAACTCGACTAGCCTCGAGCTGAGGGCCGTGGCAGCACTCCTCGTCGCTGCGCTGGCCTCCGTGTCCACGGTGTCGCTGCGGGCGCGGCGCCCGTGACTCGGCCGCGCAAGTTGGGGTCGGGCGACCGTGGCTGGGGGTGAGGTTGACGGAGATGGTTGACGGAGGCACCTCAATTTCTTGAGATTGTTGCATAGGCCATGCAAGTTGGAGCGGCTTGAGGCTTCCAGTACGTGCATCGCTTTGTGGCTCAGGTTTTAGGCGAGATGCATTCGTGTCCCTTTGCCCACGGCAAGAGTCGGGAATGACCGCATTGGCACTCAAAGCTAAATGGTCTACGGCAAAAGTCAGCACGTTTGCGTGTGTACGCCTACGCATGTATACATATGCACAATGACTGTTGGATAAGGCAGTGGAGAAGGCACGTGACGCTTACCCTCATGGCACTTGTTTTTGAGGACTCAGCCGAACCTCGGCCTCAGTGCGCTGGCCCACCTTTCAGCAGCGCCCGCTCCGGCCATGCCGTGTGTCTCAGAAACGCTTAGCTATCCCATCAAAGGCATCCTTCAGAACAACTTGGCAGGCAAAGGCAGGGACGCCGAAGCGGAGCCTAGGTGGGCCCCCCAAAAGCTCAAGTGGTCGCTGTTTCTTTCACATGCTTGCCTGCTTTGTTCCGGGGTGGATGTTGTGCCTGGGCGAGAGTTGCAGGTCCTGACAAGGGCGCGGAGGGTATGCGATACTTGCTCAAGGCGACCGCGCATGGCGATACATGGCGGGACCTTGCAGTGTCTATCTCCTCGCTGGGTGATTACACACCCCACAGTGCCAGCTGGAATGGTTTGCACGGCGACTTCGCTGTCATCAACCAGGTGCCTGGTCACTCAGTAAGACTCAGGCCGGGTTTACAATCTGGCAGCAGTCTCCACAGGCCTTGTCGCCGCGTGTGGCAAGATTACAGGTTTGAGTTGCATAGCACTTGCTATCACAAACCTTAGGTCCACTTCGTTCTTACCCCCGTTTCAGCTGGCCCGGTGTTCATGCCATGTCTGACAGCGTGGGTTCCACTTTTTTTTCTCCTCCACGGAGAGGTTCAATTTCTATGACATGGCAGAAAAGCCGCTGCTGCTGGGGGTCTTTCACATTTTGCTCTGTGGCATGGACCGCTCGGAGCAAAGCCTGGAATACATCCGTGCCTTTGGGCCTCACGCCGCTTACTGGTCGCAGGACAGATCAGTTGTGGCTTCTGCGGCGGTTTTCTTGGCGCCTGCTTTGCTTTCCTGGCTTCTCCCCGGGCCTTTGTTCCCTTCCCCTACCCCCCCCACCCCCCCCTCCGCAGGACACGCAGCTGGACCTGGCCACGTCCGCAAGCTTCGTGGAGTACTTCCCCCGGAAGGGGTCCAGCACCTTGAGATACGGCAACTGGGGCTCGGAGCTGGACCTGGGCCCGCAGAACCCCACCTACCTCGCGGAGCTCACGGAGTTGCAGCTGGCGAGCTGCGTGAGCCTGGAGTACCGCGCCTTGGATAAGCCAGCTGGGGCTGCCTTGGGTTGAACGGAGCAAACGCCGGATTTCGAGCAATGCCAAGCTCGGCTTGGACCATGCAACACAGATTGGAGCGAAGCCAGGCCATATGAGCGATTGAACTTCTAGATGGCCACCCTGTTGTTTGTTGAGCTGAAGCCAGCAAACACAACAGCAAACAAACACACGCAACCTTTTCACAGAATGGTGTCAGACACCAGTTTATACTCAAGCTCCTGTGGTGCACTGTTGCTCGCGTTGATTTGTGGCTTAAGCTTCTTGGTAGCCACTGGTTGTGACCCTGGTTCTCAGTGACAAAGCACACCAGGGCCATGTCTCAATGTGGGCCCGAGGAGATGTAGATCATATTGACCTGCTCTTGGGCTCCATGCTTGCGGATAACGTTGGCGACGTGGGTGACGCGGCGCGGTCCTTCTTCTTTGCCTTCAGCAGCCTGAGGCATTGTGACATGCAGATTGCAAGCTCCAGCACCGTGACTGTGACATCAACCTCAAGTTCCGCAACGGCCACCACCAGGACAAGCACCACCCAAACCATGACCAGCTGGACTCGCACGAAGACGGGGACTAGCACGACTTCTGCCGCCACCTTCTCCACGGCAAAGACCTGGACAAGCCACACTGCCACAACTACCACCCTGACCACAGCCACAGTCACCACCACCACTGAGCTCATCGGGCTTCCCATCTTCGCGAGCCCAGGCGTGAAATCGGGGACTCGCTTCTTGCCATTGCGGGGTATGTCAACGAACAGCTGGGTGAGACCGTTCATAGTTGAACCATTTGAGAGTTGCAGGAGCACAACAGATCAAGATTTGGAGACTAGATCACTTCCACATGCCCATGTCGTAATTTGTTGCCAGCTCCATCGCGGTCAACATCCACAGATTTGAAGGGGCCATTTCCACCTTATGACACGTTCCCGGAGATATGCAATACAGCCTTGCCGCATGCCACAGCAGGTTTTCTTTTGCCCATTGAACTGGCATGGCCTGCATCTGACTTTTGTTTGATTGTCCAGTGTTGAGCGATTACTGCACCCCTGGGTTGTTCATGAGCCTGGAGCCGGGTGTTGCACAAGGTGGTGCCCAGCATGCCCTGCCTGCAATGTGCATCTTGCAATCGGGTGGATAATTTTGCATGGGGTGCTTGCACCGCAGAAGGGTCAAAGAGCAGCTGGCTGTTTTGCGGATGCTTTCACTTTTCACTAAAGCTTAATTTTCCTAAACACCAGGCTCAATAAACGACTCCATAGGCCAAACCATGGTTTGAGCGGCGTGGGTGTTCTCTTGCAATAGGTGACCAGCCCTGGCAAAAGCTGCTGGGCCGTCCTCTCCGCTTTGCAGCGATGTGGCTCTATGTGGGGGACACTCGGCCTGAGGTTGAGGCTGTAGGCTGTCGAGTTTCTTAGACGTAGTTTTCGTCAGTTATCGTTTTTTTTTGGTCCTTTTCGGGGACCCCGACTGGCCAAGGCCGACACGCAAATACGCGTGTTCAATGAGGACGCCCCCCCTTTAAATTTGCAAGTTTCCTTGCCAAGCCCATCCACAGAAGGGCCAGGCCCCTCCATAGCGGATTCAGCTTCACTTTGGAGTCCCGAAGCCCACCACCGCAAGACACAGCGAGCAAAGCAAAGCAAAAGCAAGGCAAGGCAAGGCAAGGCAAGGCAAGCAATTGCTTGCTTGCCTGCGAAGACGGTAGACACTCCCACTCTGCATCACCCCCCCCCCCGGCGACTTGGAGCACTTGGTGCATTCCATTTTGTGGGGCTAGACACAATTGTCCGACTTTGGTGCAGGTTTCTCATAATTTTCTGCCACAATTTCAACTCCGGGAGGCTGGCACATGCCAAGCGTATTTGGCCGCAAGGTGCTACTGGCCATTGCCTTGGTATTGGTCATCTACTGGCTTTGCACTCCAGGGCCATGCAGATGCAGAGGACAAGGGACCTGGAAACGGGGGGAGGGAACATGCTTTAGCAATTCAAGCTCACCAAGCAGGTATGGTAGAATAGAAGATATCACCCCTTGCAAATTGTACCACAGGAAAATTCAAGAGACAAATCTCAACTAGCCGCAAGCGGTGTCGAACTGATATTGGTTGGACCTTGTGGGTGACCTGTGCATTTGCGGTCTATGTGTTTCGTGTTGCAAAATGCGAGGCCCCCAGCACAAGCTCTGAGCAGTTGTTTCGCAGGACGCCGATCGGCACCGCGCACGCTGGTGCGGCTGTAGCCATCCCGGGCGAGCGATGCTCGGCCGCCAGTGGGCCACGGAGAAGATGGCTGTTGGTCTTTCCTCTCACGGAGCTTCACTTGGAATTTTAATAGGGAACCCCCTCCAAAGTGGTTGGTGGACATGGATCCCCACCTAAATGGTGTTTATGAAAGGGCTCCTTATTAGAATTCAGACCCACCTGTCGGTTTTGGCCTAGAGAGGAGCTCTGACGGGGTTCTGAAGTTGAGGCCTTTGAAGGCCTTGCGTTCTTTGCACCTTCCTGGACGGGTGCGAAAGGCTTTGGTTCAGGAGCAAGGACTGATTGGCAACTTTCTGCAGCCTATGAGGAAAGCCAGAAAATTGCCAGGTGGGCAGCCAAACTTACGGAGATTGCGCAAGGGCGTGGTTGACTTGCACAAGTCTCTCAGTCAGGCTTGATGCTTGAGGGGTCTTGCTTTTCTGGGATTTCTATTTTACTGCTGTACTCCTTGCGCAGCCACATGTTGCAGTGTTGCGCGTGTTCCTGACACCCGCCAAGGAGTCCTATGACGACATCTCATAATTTCGCATTTAGCTAACTTAATGGCGGATATGTGCATGATGCTCTTTGCCACGGCAAACAAAAGGCGCTGTGTCAGCCAGCGCTCTGCAAAGCAGAGCTGTGTGGCTGTGCGCTTGGCTAGCTGAGCGAAAGTGCTAGGTTGGCAAGGTCTATCCTTCCTGATGTGTTGGAAAAAGGGAACTACGGAGCCCGTACTTTGCTCCACGCGCACACACGCACACAACCGACCAGATAATTTTTCCTCGGGTGAACAGAAGTGTCTCTGAGCTGCTTGGTGCACCGTCGTGCGAGACATGGACTTTTCTTCCTTCAGTTCTGGACGTTACATGAAATTCAGGCTTGGGCCAGAGACGGTTCAACCTAGCTTTCTACTTTGCTTGCTGAGAAAGAGCCATCGCAATTCTAGTGTCGTCCAACACTTTCGAGCGCAGACCTTGTCGGACTCAACAGAACACCGGAGCACTTGGTGTCTGAACAAGGGGAGTGTCAGATCGTTTGCCAGGATGCCAACGTACGGCCTGTTCCCCAGGACCTCAAAACGTTTGGTGTCTGCACGCGTCAGCGCATACCATGTCAGACACGTTTGGATCATTGAGCGGCAGTGAAGGCCTCTGACTTTCGCCTCAGGGTAACGGCGCTGAAGTGGCTCCTGGAGTCGGTGAAGCTGCAGGTCGCGGGTGTCGCACCGGGTGTGAGCTTGTGGCAGATACGAAGATACTTGAAGCAGAAGGCAGACAGTTCATTGCTACAGCCACCACTGACTGCCAAGTATAGGTAGACAAAAAGAGCGTTCCGCATGTTGTACGGAGCTTGGCAGAAGTCAGAACAGGCCAATACTACATTGCCGATGGAAATGGCAAACACTTCCCAATTCGTTTAAGGCCGCTTCCACACAACCAGATTTGGGCTATGCCTATTTCGGTAAAAAAAAACACGGCAAAAGGCATGTCCCTTTTACACAGGTACAACATGGACAAAACAACTTGTACAGAGTCTTCTTTCAAAGAGAAGGCTTGCAGCAGCTCAACGAGCTTACTTTTGAAGAGAAGACTTGCTGCTGCTGCTGCTGCCGCTGCTGACTGAACAAAGGTGTTTCCAGGGTCCTTATAGAGGTCTCCCCCTTCGCATATTTTTCTACTTTGGGGGGAAGTCATGGGTAGCCTGCTGCTAGATCAAACTGTGTTCCAGACTCACCTGCTCGACCTGCCTTTGGAGCAACTAGTTTGCGGAGTGTTCTTTTCGGTCGCAGAGCCGTCGGCGTTCTTTTTCACTTCGCAGGTGGACTTGGAACGGGAGCCTCAGCCAGGCGGCAATGCAAAGCGTCCCAATGCAGACAAAGCAATCACCCAGTCATCGAGTTCCTCATGAAATGACCACATGCCCCCCAAAGAGGACGCTAGCAGGTCGCCTGCATGCATAGAAATAGAACTCCAGATACATGAAGAATGATTCGAGATCAAGGCTTGGACTTTACGGCAGCTCAGAATCGCCCGGGTTCCCTGCAATTGCTGCCAGGTGAGGAGCGGAGCATCTCGAACCGATTCCTGCCACGCGCCTGCTGTTGGCGCTGCGTTATGGGGGGTTGGTAGAGAATTGCTTCCAGCTTTGCTTACTCAAAAACCGCCGCCCCAAGAGCCGTGCATGTTTGGCGGTGAGTTATTCCTCCTTTGCCTGCGAGCTTCCAGCCTTTCCGGGTTTCAGACTTGGGATCTTGGGGCAGTGATCCGGCTTTGGGTCCCAAGCGGCAAGCTGGCACCTCGAGCCCAGAGATTTGATGCTCTATGCGCCTAGGATGCCCCCGCGGAAAGCGGAGCATGCAAGCGAAGCGGCGCGGGCCAGCGAAGGACAGCGCTGGCTTTTGGGGAGACGGCAGGGTTTGTGCTAGGCTTGAAACTGTGGCGCGATTCTTTTCAAGAAAGTCACGACGGTATTGTTGAGAAAACGATGACTGGGATAGCAAACATACTGTCACATACTGTATACTTTTGCTCTTCAGCAGTTGGGGGACTGAACTCATTTACGAGAAAGGTTGACACAAACAGGTCCTGGCACACGCCTGGCTGCGGCTCGTGCTCACATCCCCGCTTTGGATCCCGGCTCCACTTCGCAGTGCGTGGCTTTCGGCGCTCGATTTGCATGCTGTTCAGCTTTCAGACCTTTGTCTAAAGCAATCCTTTTCGGCGGTCTCCAAATGGGCAGCAACAAGTGGGGTGTTTGATCTTTCCTCTGGCGCGTTTGGGCGGTTTTCCGACAGACGCTTGAGCATTTTGTGCAGAGAATGCTGGCCTTTGTCGCGTGCTGCAGGGGTGTGGAAGGCACCCATGCCCCTGCACGATCCACTTGTCAACCAGCCGCTTGCTTTTCGCAGCAAATGACACATTCAAAGTCTTAGGAGTCTTCTTTCAAAGGGTAGCCCTTGGCAACGAGGAGCTCAGCGTCCCACTCGTATGCTGTGCAGTGGTTGGTCAAATGTCGCCACTGCGGTCACTTTTGCCTTCGCAGCATGTTGCTCGGCGTTTTTCTACACCAGGAGGCTCCGGATCAGCTCAGGGAGGCTGGGAGATGGGTCAATTTTCAGATGCATGCCATTCGGCAATCTCTTTCGCCTGGCGCGGGGATGTTGCTTTCTTATCGACAGCTGAAAAAACGCGGCAGCTGCAGATCCAACAAAATGTCAGCTGATTCACTGGACTTGCTGCCATGCACGGAATTGACATGAATGAAGCCAGGAATTGTCACGCGTGTGGAAAGATCACCTCATGGGCAGCCGAATCGTACTATGGGAGAGTTGTGCCGCATTTTTTGGCCGTGTTCAAGTTTTCAGAATATTCTTCAGCTTGATTGTGAATCATGTCGTGTTCAAGTCAGTTGCGAATATGTCAGATGTGGTCAACAGTCAACCACGAGGAAACCCCAGGCTTGAGTCCAGGTTTCCATCTCCCGGGGCAAGCCATTTGAGCACGGCCAGATGAGTCAAAATGCCAACCTCCGCGCCCAAGCCTCCCATGAGGCCTGCGGCAGCTGGTGCCAGAGCTGCTTCCTGGCGCCCCGGGGCCCAGCGTTGGGGGGGCTTTTCTGGGGGAATTTGGCGGAGGGAACGCGACTGATCTGCGGATTGGCGATGAGTTTGACAGCTGGTCTCGTTTTGCGACAGAAACCAGCTCGGCGATTTGGCTGTTGCTCAGGGCCTGGTTCTGGGCACTTCTTTTTGGCAAGAGGTGAATGGTTTGGGACGGAGGCACTCACCGAATTGCTGTTGGATACAGATAAATCCAAGAGAGCCGACAGCGATTGCCGAACGTCACGCCGAGCTTGGACGAACCGACTTCCAAAGGCAGCGCCACCCTCCTGAAGCCAAGCTTGTCCCCTCCCTATTCACAGTCAGTAGTCGAGGGAACAGCCCTATGCCGTACATCAAACAAGATAGCCGAGAAAGGATACCAGCTCTTCAGGCCCTTTACTGCTTGGATGACGGCGAGGGCACTATCCAGCAAGAGGCTGAGCAGGCAGCGCGGAGGAGTGAATGCTTCTGGCGTGAACGTCTGACCTACTTCAAGCAGAGTATCTTGTCACCTCCATCTGAATTGATGTCATAGGAGCTGAGTGATTGGACAAGAAATTTAGTTGATTGTTCTTGCAGGGCTTGAGCCCAATTTGGCCTCACCAACTTTTTCAGACGGGGAGCGCCATGCACCCACGGTGAAAACAAGCTTCGGCCCTGAGGTTGAGACAGAAGAGGGTAAGTTTAGGACTGGTCGGAATCGGAATGGTTTAGGATTGGTTTGGGATTGGCGTGCTGATGTAGGGCTGGCTTGGGGTTGGTTTAGGGTTTGTTTGAGGGTTAGCTTAGGGTGGTTTGGGGTCGGCTTAGGGTGGCTTAGGGTTGGTTTCGGGTTGATCCGAGCTTTCAGAGCTTGTCAAAGGAAACCAAAGGCGATGAACTCGTTGCCGGCCCCAGCTCGAGGTCTTGGGTTGGTTGAGCCCTTGAGTTGCAGGTAAGACCACCTAAACCTCGGGAGCTCAGCTTCTCAGCATACTAGAACGGCTTTTGGTGTGATCAAGGTGCAGACTTCAAAGAGATCATTTCAGGGGGGCTGAGCCGAGCTCGCAGGCCAATGCCAAGCTGCGCGAGGCGGCCTTGAACCTGGAGGGCGCCTGCCCCAGCCCAGCTGCTGAGGGATCGGGCTCGAAGGCTCATGGCGAAGGCCGACGGCACGGAAGGCGTTTGCCCCACAAGCAGTGGCAACTTTAGAACTGAAGCCTCTGGTGTCTGCCCGGTTCTGAGTCCTTGCAGTTGGATCTCATTTTCCAATCAGACAAAGACATCAATGATAGACGTGGTGTTCTGGCGTGGTTGACGATCTCAAGACATGCTTTTCTCACAGACGCAGAAGATCGCAGGCGCTAGGCTTGCTTGGTTTGGGGCCGATCGATTGGGTCCAGGCTTGGAACATGTGGTTACGCATCATGAACAGCACGCACGCGGAGTCAACGGCTTCAGGACCATGCGTGTTGCTGTTCCTTTTGATTTCTCGACTTCTGTTCTGAGTGTACTGCCTGACGCCTTCCCAGGGGATCTTCCGGTGGAGCCCGTTGCTGGCGCTGTGATCAGTGCGATGTCAGATGTCGGGGGACAGGAGATGACGCTTCGGAAAGCAATGGGACCACCTCCAAAGTGGTCGGTGGACATGAATCCCCACCCAACTGTGATGTGCAAACGGGTCCCCCATTAGCATTCACAGCCAGATATATGAGCGGACTATCCCGATGAACATTTGGGAAGCACTGATGTTTGTTCCTCACATCACCATTTGTTCTGTCGTGGGTGTCACAGCCAAAGCACAGCTTGGGGGTAAGGCCGGCGTGCCGCCTTAGCAGGGATTTGAGACACGTGTGCATTGCGCAATGTTGCAGAACATTTGCCAAATGCAGTTGGGACCCTGTGGCTGGGATCCTTTGATTTGCGGCGCGACTGTTGCAGCTTGATGCAGGAGCCCTCAATACCAGCTTGCGCGATCACACAGGGAATGACAGGAACGTGCATTTTGTCTTTGAGGAGAATCAAGCTCACCAAGAAGCAGATTAAGCAGATTCCTTTGGCGACAATTGAGCCGCGCCATAAACCCTGACAATACAAAGTAGTAAAGGGGGGTGTCCTATAGAATCCCCGCGAAAGCCAAACCGCAGGCCGCGAAAGCTTGCGAAAGCTTATCGCGAAAGAAACCAAAGAAGGTCCCGCCGCGAAAGACCCGCGAAAGCCTGCATGCTGTGTGACGGTCCGCCGCGAAAGCGTCGCGAAAGCAATTCTAAAGAAACCAAAGCCCGCGAAAGCAAAACATTGGGGCGCGAAAGCATCGCGAAAGGGTCCGCGAAAGCAAGTTTATAGGACCGCTTTTTACACAAGAGTATTTGGCACGGCTCAATTGTTCAGGCTTGGAACACAAGGCGAGCTCAAGGCAGAATGCTTCAAGTCAGGGCTGTTCAACACATGTTGGCCAACTTTTCTGCCCGTTTTTGTACTTATTCCCATGTTCAACACATGTTCAACACATGTTCAACACATGTTCAACACATGTTCAACATGTGTTTGTTTTCCTTTTTTGCGCGCTTTTTCCCGGGACCTTGGCCTCCGCCATGCCGGTCCCCACGCCGGCCCCGAGCCTCGAAGAGGCCCTGGGCCGGTGGAGCGCCCAGCTGCGCGCGGAGCTGCGCGCGGACGTGGTGCGGCTGGAGGCGCGGCTCAAGGCGCTGGAGAAGCGCCTGGACGTGGAAGGCGCAAATGGAGGCAGAGTGCCCGCGGAGGGGGGGCGGACCTCTTGAATGCGGATTGCCTTCGGAGATCGATTTGTCACCATGATTGATTCTCCGGGGGTATTGAGGAAAGGATGCCCTCTTCACCCCTTCACCCTTCACTTTTCCCTTTGTCCTTTCATTCATTGATAACATCTCTGCGAGCTTTGGTTAGCACTCTGCATCTGGATCATTTATGCGCATAGTGATCACACTCCACATTCAATGCTTTTCTTTGTTTGAACACGCCGGGGACAGTTCTCGCTGCATGTTCATGTGGCCGACCAGCGCAAAGACCTTTGATTTTGGGCCTCGGCTGCTTCGGCTTGTGACTGGGCTTGGCAGGAGCACTGGAGCTGGCAAAGCCTGCACCGAGTCTGGAAGGCAACCATTTGACAAACGAGTCCTTGGAGGCTGAGTTGGAATTCCAGGTTGCCGTTTTCGACGAGTCCGAGTCCAAGGTCGCACCCGTTGCAGTGGAACCGGAAGCCGCACCCGAAGAGGAGGGCCTCGTCCACTTTGGCTCCAGCGCCTGGACCTTCCCGGTGGTCATCGGCCTAGCACCCGCCGGCCCCTGGGACGTCACCTTTGCCATCATGCTGTTGCTGCTGAATCTGGGCATGCAGGTCTGTTCCATTTCAAAAGGGAAGAGAAGAACATGGTCTCTGTCATTCCATTTCAAATGGAACAAAACACATGCTCATCAGAGCATTGTTTCAGGCTGCAAACAACTAGAAGATGGGTGGCCCGAAAGCATCAGCAGCGGCGGCAAGTTCTCCTAGCAATCCTAGCAAGTTCTCCGCGCAGTTGCGCGTCTGAGCAAGTTGTTGGCGCGAGTTCCTCTGAGCAAGTTCTCCAAGCAAGTTCTCTGTGCAAGTTGCTCTGAGCAAGTTGTTGGCGCGAGTTCCTCTGATCAAGTTCTCCAAGCAAGTTCTCTGTGCAAGTTGCTCTGAGCAAGTTGTCGGCGCGATTTCCAGCCGGAGCAGCGACAGTTTACTTCGCGTACTACTTTCGTACTTAGAAGTTGCGATTTTCCAGCCGGAGCTGCGAAAGTGTACTTCGCGCTCAAAAGTTGCGACGGAGCTGCGAAAGTTTACTTGCGTACTACTTTCGTTCTTAAAAGTTACGATTTTCCAGCCGGAGCTGCGAAAGTGTACTTCGCCTACTAATTTCATACTTAAATGTTGCGATTTTCCAGCTGGAGCTGCCGCGGACCAGGGGGGAATCGAACCCGCGACTGCGCGATTGCGAAAGGCGCCACAGCGAGAGCGCGTCGACACGCACGATCCCCTTGCAAAAACGCAAAAAACACCCTCGAGTTTTTGCCCCTCGACCAAGGCGGGCGCCGTAAGAATCGCAAAAACCTCGAGATTTTGCACCTCGACCACGCCGATGCCCGCAGAGGGTCGCGCGGGCACCGCAAGTCGCTCGACCACGCCGATCCCCGCAGAGGGTTCATCCGCGCACCGCAAAAAATGCAAAAACAAATGAGTTTTTGCACCTCGACCGCGCCGATCCCCGCAGAGGGTCGCGCGGGCAACGCAAGAATCGCAAAAAAACTCGAGTTTTTGCACCTCGACCACGTCGATCCCCGCAGAGGGTCGCAAACCCGATCGACGATCAAAGTCCTGCCCCGGCGCCCTAGAAAGCTAAACTTAACTTGCATAGTTGCTAACACTTGGCTCTATGCGCTTGGCTCTATGCACTTGGCTCTATGCACTTGGCTCTATGTACTTGGCTCTATGCACTCGGCTCTGTGCACTAGGCTCTATGCACTCGGCTCTATGCACTTGGCTCTACGCACGGCTCTATGCATTTGGCTGCATGCACTTGGCTCCATGCACTCGGCTCTATGCACTCGGCTCTGTGCGCTCGGCTACATGCACTTGGCTCTATTTGCACTTGACTCTATTTGCACTTGGCTCTATTTGCACTTGGCTCTATGCACTTGGCTCTATGCGCGGCTCTTTATTGACTCTGCGCAAGTGATTCTATGCAAGTTGGTCCGAGAGCTCCATGCTTTCGGGAATAAAATGACAAAATGTTCATCAGAGCATCTTTTCAGGCTGCAAACCAAAAAAAAACATGCTCATCAGAGCATCTTCTCGGACATTTTCAGATTCCTGAGCTTCGAACACTACCGAGTCGTTCTCCCCTTCGAGGCCATGTTCTCTTATATCATCCTGGGGGAGGACTTCATGGGCCCCGAGTTCGCCTCCCACGTGAGCGACGCGCGGCGCTGGCGCACCAGCATCGCGCACGACCACAAGCGGCGTGGCTGAAACCGGCTGCGACCTTTTGACCGGACCGTTCCAAGGCTTAGAATGGATTTCAGAGATTCTCTTTGAGAATTATGTGTGGGTAGAACTAGCCAGCTCTGGGAAAGCGATCAGCTGGGAGTTCCGATATTTGATGCCATTTTGAAGAACGAGCTGCTTGCATAGGTACATGGACCTGGCGGCGACCAGCTTGGTCTCCCGCGTTTGTGGCCTGGATGGATCTCTGATCCTGTCCACGAATCAGGCAAACCTTGTGGGGGACATCAACAGCTTTCTGGGTTTGCGCCTTGGGCAGTTCTCCCCAAATGCCTTCCAGCCGGGGGTGCTGCTGTGCATGCTCTGCATTCTGCTCTGGAGCCTTTGTGTCTACAAGGAGAGTTTCAGTAGCGAGAAACCGGGGGAAATTGCTGAAGCTGTGTAGGCCGCTGGGTCTGCGTCCGGCCAGGAGCTTCGAAACGTTTGGCACACCTTGGAGGCGTTGCTTCAGATCCCGCGGACGAAGCAGTCGATTTTCCGGGAGAACATGCTGCATGGACTGTCAAAGGCGAGGCATTGATGCCACAGCCCGTGCAACACACCAAGCATCCACAACCTCCACGCATCAACATCAATGCGCTGTAGGGGCATTAGGGCATCAACTTCTGTTCGTCGAAAGAACTGTCGTGGGGCCTTGCTCGGCTTGACATGCTGCATGAAAGAAAACGCAGGAGATATCCATGCCGGTTCTTGCTGCTCAAGCAAGCCATGGGCAAGCTTCTTTGCTTGGAATTTCACTTTAATGTGTGGCAATCGTTTCTGTGATGTGAGGCACTGGAGGATCGTGCTACCCTCGTTGAATTGGATGTACTGCCTGCCTTCAGGGTCTCAGGGTGCAGCGTGTCGCGCCTGCTTGGATCCTTCTGGGGGTTGCTTTGTCTGTGGGCATGCAAGGAGAGAGGGTTTGTTGCCAGGGCAGTGCTGTGCTGTCACAGAGCATGACCATCCTGGTGTCTTTTAGGAGAATTTGCCTGTGAGGCACCATTCCTGCTTTGCACTGCGTCGCGAAACCATATGGACCAACTTAACTCTGGCTGTTAATGAGGATGCTGCATGCTGCTTGTTTGCCTCTGGCTTCAGCCAGCCTTCACTGTTCCCTGTTCCTGAAAAGGACAGCAACACGTGCGCAAGCAGAAATTGCAGCACACTTGCCTTGGTGCGGGGAATGGGGGACCCGGCCAATGCTCGCCGCAGGGCCGCCTGAAGATGCTGCTATTCACCTTGCTGGTGCGCACCTTGATCGCTTGCGTGCTGCTGGTGAGCGGGATACAGTGGCTCGCCAAGACCACTTCCATCACTGAGCTGATGCTCAACGCGGTGGCGCTCAACGCCATCCTCGACATCGACGAGTTTCTGTTTGCCGGCTTCACCCCCGTCTCCATCCAGCTCGCCGTGGATAGACTGGAGCCCTGTAGGGTCAAGTACAGCTCGTGGCGCAGCCAGGTGGAGTCCTGTTTGCTATTCGTCCTGCTGGTAGGCACTGTGATGGTGCCTTACTTCCTCCTGCTAGAACCGCAGGGCGAGCTAATGCTGGCCACGAAGATGGAGATGTGTGGCGGGAATCAGACTTTTGTGGTTGGCAAAAACCAAGACACTCAAGTGATCGTGGGGTTAAATACCGAAGCCCTTGGTGCGAACCAAGCCAGATTGCTACAGGAGGCAGTCCAAAAGCACATTTGGGCAAGTGACCAGCTTGGTGGCTACATCTCCTTTGTTGGGAGCAACTCTGTATTCAGCCGGGATCTTTCCTGGAATATGGAAGAGGAAGCTGCACAGTGGACCATCTGCCCCGAATCAGACGTTCTGACACCAGGAGGATTGATGTACCAGGCTGGAGTCTCCCAGAATTTTGAGTCTTAATTGTCGGCGAGCCGAAGTATCGAGCCCACGCTAGTGCCAACTCACGTCCCTGAAGGACCCCTTTGTCTCCGCAATCATCACGAACCGCTTGCGCTCTGCCAGCCTGGGCCTGGGCTTTGCGGGTGCGGAAACCTGCGCAGAGGTGGCCCATCTCTGCGACGTGCCGGAGGCGCGGTTGCTGCGGCTGATGTGCGGCGTCACGTGCCGTTGCGCGAACCCTGCGCTGCTTGCCCGCACTCAGCGCGTTTGCGCTCGTGCTTGGATTCGGTGAATGTTATTTATGGGCTTCAACATGTTTGCAGTGATGCACAAGACCGGATCCAAATGAATGCCCGTTTTGAAAGGATTATACAGCCCTATCCGAGGCTCAACATGCCAAAAGGAGGGAATGATTGACGTTCTTGATTGGTCTAGGTTGCCAATATCAAATGGCACTGGCAAGCCACCTTCAAAGCCTGCTAAGAGAAACTACTGGCGGCGACTTGATGGTTGGCAGCATTTCAGAGGGCCAGTTGCCAAGACTGCAGCCCAATGTATTTGTTGTCAGTTGCGACCGACTTCTTGCAAAGGGTGTGGCCAAGAAACCTGAAGGGGACCTCATGGTTGATAAAGCCCATCATTTCACATAAGGTTACAAGGCAATTCTTCTGGCCTCCATCTGATCTTGTTTTGCCATCTCCATCGTCATGAGCAGGCTCACCGCAAACAAAACAGGCCGCCCACCCATGAAAGCTGCCCCCAGGTCGTCGCCTTGGTTCAAGACCAAGCAGCACGGCTGCGCCGACAGTTGCACCAACATTGCCAGGGCTGCGTTGAGTTCCTCGCCATGTCAGGACAAGGGGCAGGAGCGCCCCGGGGGGGGGCGGGTCCTGACATTTTGTTTTGCAAATGTCATGCTGCCCTAATTCCTGTGAGGCCCGGGACCAAACCTTGCCTTTTGGGCACTCAGACCTGCTGACTAGTCCCAGATGCCAGCCAGTATGAGATCAACGTGTTGAACTGCTTTGGGCATTGGTGGAAAGCCTGCATGACATTGCATGACTCTCGCAGGATGAGTCTTGGCGAAGCATGTGGGACAGCTACATGCCATCTTTGTCGGCATTCTACAACTCCAACATCAGCGAGGGCGTTCTGGGCCCGCCGTTGCTTGGCAGAGGGGCTGTGACAACAGGATTCCCGTACGGGCAAGTGGGACATCAAGGCTCCACAAATCAACTTCTTGCATGACGTGAAACTTTCCCACACGAGCCTTTCACCTCACTGACTCTGACTGTGGCTTGTGGGGATGAACAAGGCGCAGTGCTTGTGCAGGGTAGTTTCACGTGCTACTAGGGATGCTGATGCAGGGTGCTGGTGCATCTTGTCTGTCTGTCCGTCTTATCTTTCTTGTCTGTGTTGTTCTGTCTTGCCTGTCTTGTCTGTCTGTGTTTGTTTGTGTGTTTGCTTGCTTGCTTGTTCGTTTGTTTTGTTTGTTTGTTTGTTTGTTTGTTTGGTTGTTTGTTTGTTGGTTTGTTTGTTTGTTTTGTTTTGTTTGTTTGTTTATGTATTTATTGGTTTGTTTGTCTGTGCGTGCCGAGTGTGTATGCTTTGCCTTATTCAATTGAGATGCCTTTCGAGCCGTGAAGCCATCGGGAGTTTAAGTGTGTGTGTGTGTGCGCGTGTCTGCCGGAACCGTGCTGAAGCCTTTTGCCGACAGTCTTCCGTAACACGGTGAACCTGAGACTTAGAGCTATTTCAGGGCCAACGATGACACCTAGCTGACGTGCGTGATATCGAAAGGAGATGTTCTTGCGACCTACCTACTCAGAGTCAGAAGTGATGATGTTTTCTCGTTTCTTCTTTTGTCGCTGTCTTGTTGAGTTGGTGACCTGTTGTGTTGATGCTGCTCCGCTCTTCGTTGTCAGCACCAACGCGCTTGACATGCTAGCTTCCTCGTGTAAGCCCACGGCCGGTCCGACATGGATCGTCGCAGCGGTTCGAGGTGACAGGAGTTTGCACCTTGTGACTGGCCACGTTGCTGCAATCTGCATCCGTATTTGCTGCAGTGTGATCTTGGGTCAATTGTTTTTCGGCTCTTCTGAAGCCAATCTAAACTTTACCCCTGAATTTGTCCGCGTCAGCTTGTCTGTGAACCAACGTGCCCGAAATCTGAGTAGCCCAGCGGACGTTCTCCAAATGTGAGCAGTGACCGCCTTCTGTGTGTTATTTTTTACTGTGCATTGCGTGCAATCAAGTCTTCTGAACATTGCGGAAGCAGAGGTTTTCCAGTCAGGGGCTGCAACAATAAGCTTGCCGTTTTAGGCGTGGCTTCCAACCGATGCAACCTTTTGGTTCCAGGGCCTTCCGAAGCGTGCCAAGGATGATAAACATCACCCAGACGATCAAAGAAGTGGGGTGTCCGGCCTTGGCGGTGCCGGCGTTGGCGCAGGATCTGGCCACTGGGGCGCTCTGGTGCCGAGGCCATCCTCCCCTCTACCGGCCCCTGGCCTGGGCGCCTCGCAGGATGGATTGTTTTTTTTTTAGCCTTCAAAACCGGGTGGTTCCCTTCTGGTTTTCCAAGCGCCGAAAAGCCTCAAACGAGACACACCTGTGTGGAGTGGGGCCGTTGAAAGGGATAGGCGACCATGTCGCTCGCAGAATATTTCAGGGCGGCGCCCCGCACCAGCGCGGTCTGTCCGGCAGGAGAAGGTTCGGCCCCTGGATCAGGTTCATCAAATCATTAATTGAAGCTTCCAAGAAGAATGCAACGGAGGTATCGAAGTGGCCACGCCACACTGAAGGCAAGATGTCAGGGGCGGCGCAAAGTCTTGACATCTATGCATCCATATATCGGAGCCTTCGACGCGCAAATCAATTCTCTTGGATGCGTCGGCGATTCCGGCCATGTAGACGCTGACTGGCTTTGAAGGTCTTGCACGGAGCAGCATGTAGCTGGGCCTAAGCAGAAGAGCGGGGCCCATACTCGATCCCTCTGAAGCCATTAAGGGCCTGCAAAGCTGGACATAGGCAATAGAGCTGAGGTAGTCTGCGGAGGAAGCGAACCCCCATCGTGCCCGGAAAAAACAAAAGTGCGTGCAGAACATCCCCAGCATCACCCCACTCATCCAGGAGCAGGCGAGCCTCAAAGGCGCCAAAGCACCAGTCTCAACATGGTTAGACAGGGGCAGGCATTGAGCTGTTACTTCAACAGTGATGTTAAAGTGATGTCAGACCTCCGGGGGGGATCCTTTTCGGGCACATTTGCGCTCAACACTTGCCTGTGTTTAAGCAGTTTGAGACTGGCGTTTTTGGCGCCTTCACGGGCAAGTATTGCCACCCTTCCCAGGCGCCTTCCCTCCAAGCACATGGTCGGCGGATTTGATTTGAACAGGAAGCCAAAAAAGAGCAGCCATTGGCATGCAGCTGCCTACACACAAAGGACGGACATGACTAGAATAGGAACCCATATCATCAAGGTTTGTGAACACCACATTGTGACATGATAACTACTGTATTGGAGTGGTTCATCCCAGGTACATCCAAACATCACGACTGATTCATTGGGCTTGCAAAGAGCAGCAATGGTTCTGTAGCTCCAATGCATTCCATTTGTTCTTGGACTGAACATATTTTTGCCGTATGCCTTGCTATTCCATGGGTGTAACACCATCAGTTTCTTGCTTTCTCATAGCAACATGATACCCCAAGCCTTTTGTCCTGATTTGCTTCCACAGCGGCCTGCCTGAATTATGTGACGTTTGCAGCTTTTCGCCCCGGATGCAGCATGTTTGAGCCACTATTTGTTGCCTGTCCGCCATCGCCAACGTGCCACGCCCAACTCGGAGCGGCAACCTTTTGGGGGCACACCGCTCTGGCTTCGCTGGCCTTTGCTTTTTTCTTGGCCCATCTGAGGTTTGTCCAGAGACCTGCGGCTGCATGTCAGAACCGACACCTGACTACTGCCCTGGCAGTTGCACCGTTAATGCGAGCGCCGCGACGGTCTGAAGCACAGATCGCAAAGTGATCGCATTTGCTCCGCGGAAAACAGGAGTATCAACATAGTCTTGTCTGACGACAATGTTTCTCATACTCAGTCTTCCCTCTCGGACCTAGACCCGATATCAAGCAGAGAGTGGCTTTTGGCCCAACCTCTGGCCAGATGATGACGCATGGCGCTGGACCGAGAAGACATGTTTTGTGCGCCCATGTGATTCTTAGCATGGGTTTGGGTAGACCCCTTCAAGATCAGGCGTTATGACTCACGAGGAGCGCAGCGAAGAAGTTCTCCTGAAGTGTTTTGGCCGGAGGCTCAAGCAATGGCCTCAGAAACCGGTACCGCGCTTTTCCCTATTCACCCGCGGCACAGCTGGCCACAAATCCCGGTATTCGGCCAGCCAAGGTTCTTGTAGAGGATAATGGAAACCTCCAAACCACCAGCTTTCAAGTACACTGATTCGTGACCAACCGGAATCGATCAAGCCCAACTGCAGGAGGAGGGTGGATTCCTACATATGGTGGGTCGTTTTTGCAACTAGAGCAGGCTACTTTGAAATGAAGTCAAGTCATGATTGTAAATATACTCTGCTAGAATGTATTTGGGCCGTACCACAATACCTTCTGGGCATTGTTTTCTAGGCCTTGGGTCTGCGAAATCGACGCTCGAATGAGATACCCGCTTTTGAACGCCGAAACGGAAGCTTAGGCTAATCACGGATCGGTTTGCAAGATCTGTCTGACAACTCTGGCTTAAAGACATGGATTCCTAGTTTCCCTTGATGGTTTCTGTGCCCAATTTTGGGGTAGTGGAAAACAGATTAGATTGACGGGGTCCAACTTGTTTTGATTCCTTGCACCTGCCAACGCCGTGTGCATCATATCAGCTGACTTGGCCACGGGTGGTTTTATTTTAGATCGGCTGGTCCCGAGAAGCAGAACCCGCGCGCTGACTGTGCGTTGAGGGTACTTGGTACTAACATGTATGTACATATTTTTGTATATAGCGCGCTGGATGTTTGTGCTTTACCCTGGCCTCAGACAAAAGATGAAGAGGGTTGAAGAAAGAACGAGAACGAGGGGAGATAAGAGAGAAGAAAGCACATAAGTTACATAAGACACGACTGAAGCCTCGGCTCCGACTAGCCATAGCATGCTGGGCCAGGTTTGTGTATACACTATTTGTCGTTTTGGACTGACCAACTTTGGAGTGTTTTATTGTGGAACCTTCATTGATTCTCCACTTTTGCCGGTTGTGGTGGGCCCACTTCTCAAAACTGCACATACAGGAGGCTTGGGACGAAGGCGCTTACAGTCGCATTTGCGTGCTTCAAACAAGTCAGTTTCTGTTCAGTCTTAAATGATTGGCCTGGTTGAGCTTGCCTGAATTGGACAAACAAACCATTTCTGTATGGGACTTGAATAGTCATTTGGACCGGGTTGGCATTCTGATTGCTGCGCCTAGACTGGGCTGAGCTTCTACTAGAGAGGCTGGTATGCGGGAGCTGAGTTGATTTGCCACAATCAGCAGCACTTTCTTTGCCCTCTTCATTCCCCAGCGAGTTTGGAGCGCTTATATTGAGGGCTAAGCTTGGGCTTTTTGGCTGGACCTAAACACTGCCCTACAGCGGGACCCCACCTGGCCCAGCAGTCGTTTTCCGTTTTCCATTGATATCAAAATCGAGGGCCGGGGCCAGGCAGCCGGAAGGTGATGTCACGCTTGTTGGTCACCTGTGGTATGCATCCAGCATACTCAATGAGGTCGGCCATTGTATCTCCAGAGTGTTCCGTGCTCCAACATCAACGGGCCAACCATTGTGCTCATGCCGAGTCAGCGCGAGCATCATTCAATTGCTCACTGCCAAGGCTTTCACGCAAGTCTGAACCAGACGCTCACAAATCCGCAAACACGTGGGGACCAGCCCATGGCTTTGCATCAGATCTCGCGATTGGGAATGCGCCAGGTGCCCAGCAAAGGTGGTCAAGCCACAGGCGGGGGGTGCTCAAAGCTTCCCATTCCTTGAGCAAAGAAATACATACCCACCGCTTTGCTCAGAGTGCTGGCAGCGTTGGGCCACTCGTCCACAAGCTGGTCGGTGTGTATGCCCTTGCCGAGTCCCTCCGGCTGTTGAGCAGTGAACCATTCTTTGTGAACTCCATGCTTTGACCCGGCAGCCATTGGCAGCCTTTGGCAGCCCCAGTGTTTTTCCTCGCTTTGCAGGTGCGGGACCGCCTGGCCGGCAGCGCGCTCAAAGTGTTGCTGCGCAAGGAGGACGAGGCCGAGCGCTAGAAAAGCCCTCGAGTCGCGAGACCAGAGGATCTGACTCAATCGGACCTGGCTTAAAGGAGCCTGCGATACGTTTGGACGGAAGGGACTTGTGGCATGGGCACGACCGACTGGCCTCCAACACTTTTGCGTGACGGGATTGTCCTTGAACCTTTCCAGAAGCTGTGAATTGGTTCATGAGAGACTTTTCTTGAGCTCAGGCCTCCATGTTGAAATGTTGGAGGTTCAGATGCTCATGTATTTAAGTCTTCGATGTTACTTTTCGTGCGGCCGGAGACCGGCTGAATAGTTGGAGCTGGTCATTTCGCTTTTTGACCATGTTTGCAAGGCTGTCAAGCATGCGCCCTGGCTAAGCACCACGAGGTGAGCCCACATGAAAGCGCAATGACTCGCGCTTGCATGTTATCAAAGCAAGAACAGCAAACCCAAGTTGCAGTTGCTCGCTTGTTTGCGCTTCCCTCTCCAGCGTCGAGGTTTCTTGTCTCAAGTTCCTACGGGATCAACGGGGAACCGGCAGTCGGCTGGCAGGTGGTGTCTCGCGCCCTGGGCTTCATGGCGAAGCTCACGGCCACTGGCGAACAGCAGGAGGAGAGAGGCCAGGATGGGGCTTCGTTTTTTTTTTTAAATCATTTTTTTTCTCTCTCTTTTTTTCTTTTTCTTTTCTTTCTTTTTGTTACATATACTACTAATATATATATATATATATACATATATATATATATATATAAATGTATATATATATATATATACACGCATTATTCATAATATGTGTATACCCGGATATATCAGTTTAGACATGTAAACACAGGTGTGTGTGTGTGTGTTGCCTAGGATGCTTGGTGAAAAGGATGCCCGAAGCAAACAATGCCTGGCTCCCGGGAATGATGGGGCTCGACTGACTCTAGAACAGTCTTTCAGCTATACTTGCACTTGGGCTGGCGACAGATGTTTGCAACTTCTGCTGTCGTTGGCTTTCGATGGGGGGGGGTGGGGCGTGCCAGCTGGCCCGTTGGTTCTTGGCTCTCGCAACAGCGGTGGCGCGGTTTCGTTGTTCTGAGCAGCGGCTGCAGGTGATTTGCTGGGCAACATGTGCCAGCAGCTTTTCCGGCTGATGAAGGAGCAGCCCAGCTTGTTGGAGAGCTGGGGGCCTCGGATAGCGAGGCTGGTCGAAAGTTTCGAAAGCTGGAGCGCCAGAAGCACTGGCACTTTCATATCAATAGGTTGCGCTGGCCTTCATTCTGGGAGAGTGCATGCCTGTGTTAGTGGCTGAAACCCAGGGCATGCAAGATGGGGTTGAGTAAACGTGTGCCTGTGAAAGCTGTCTCATTCAGTCCGCTTCTGCTTTGACAAGACTTGCATGCACCACTTTGTTCCCACAAAATCAGCATGCAGGGACTTGGTCAAACCCAGGGGCCCTTGTTTGATTCATTGTAAAGAAGAAACTGCTCTCTGAAACCAGCCACCTTGCCAGTGTTGTCGTTGTGTTTGTTGCTCAGCTCTTTTCTGAGCATATTCCAATGTGTTCTTGCTCACGGATTTGGCGTTTGCAGCTTCTTTGGCCACACTATCATGAAGCCTTAGATCGAAATCATTTTCAAGTCTGCTCTCGCACACCGAACTCCCACCCGAAACCAAAGCGACATGAGCCAGACACCAACTCTATCCCAAATCAACCCTGATCAGTATCCTGCAACCTCAATCCAAGTCTAACCATTCCAACATCCAGATAATTGCACTCTCTCACGCGAGAAACCCACGTTGAACCAGCCCAACACCCAATCATAGCTACTGTTTTTTTAGCCCAAGACGAACATGCTGGTTTTTCCGTGAGTTCTCCACCGGTGCAGTTTCCCCAGCCCCCGGCCAACACACAGGTCGAGGAGGCCTCATCGTGCGGAAGATCTGCGGAGGAGCGGGCGGCGTCGCTTGCCTTTGCCGCGTTTGCCTTTTTTGGCGTTGTGCCCAAAAGGAGCAGCAGGACAGGAGTTTGGTGTCTTTCCTATCATGTTTTGAGATATTTGCGCAGACATCATGGAAGGTCAATTAGCTTTGGTAGTAGGTTGCTATTGCAACATCTGCCAGTTCGGTGGGCTGTTTTCACCCCTGACCTCCCTGTTTCTCGGTTGCTGCATTGTGTTAGATTTACACTGTCTCTGCTGCAGGCCCTTCCCAGCAAAATCACCTTCCGCGTGTGGACGTGGAGCGCTTCTTTGCCATGCTCCTACGAAGCAGACACTTGGGAGCTGCTGGATGTCGTGGGCATCGCTAGTACGTGAAAGGCAACATTCAGAAATGGGGGAACTGCTGGTGGATCGATCAGCAGAGTTGGAAGTCTGGGGATTAGGCCTCTTGTGATTGGTTCACTGCCTTGGCGCTTAATGTTTTATTCTTGCCAGCTGCTTTGTGCCTTTGTTTGCGCTCTTTTTGCCGGTTTTGTTCAAGCATCGCCTGAAGCTTAAGCTTGCGCTCTCTCTTAGATCAACCATGTTTGGAGTTCGAAATCCATCTCTGGACTAGAGAAAGCCCTGAACAATCAACTCGGCTGGTGGCAAGGCCTCAGTCTGTTTATGGCAGATTCATGCTTGGCAGAGCTTTGCCCTTGTTTGTGCTTTGTCTTGAGATCTCACGTTCTGACTTTGTATATTGAGGGCACACCATGTACCAAGACCAAGCCATCTAGAGACATGGCTCAGTCATCAGGCAAACACGAAAGATCATTTGGGTTCGGCTGTTTCCAAACTCATGGAGCCACAGTTCGATTCTGTCCAAAGCTTTGCTTCGCAGGGGAAGGCAGCATTGGCAGATTCCTTGTTTTTGATTGTGTGTGTTTGGGGATGCCGTGATAGGAAGATGTATCAGCGGATTGGCTTATCATGGCTTCGTGAACTTTTGCTGTGCTCGTTGACAGTTGTTGCCTACCACTTGGCTGAGGCCACGGCCGCGGCTGCTGTAGAAGTCGAGGAGGAGAGAAATGGTTCGAGATACTTTGACAGGCTGGCAAGGCTAGGGTCAAGCTGTGATCGCTTCGAACCCGTCTTTCCTTGCATTAGGTATATTAGCAAGAAACAGGAACTAGGTCAGCTCGCGCCTGTGTAAGAGTGGCCTGGCTTTCCCTGCACCAGAATTCGCAGAACCGTGCGACCTCTAGATTTGGCAATGCGATGAGCTTGCGAGCGCGGACACAAACTCGCAGAACTGTTTGGGAGCCAGCAGAAGCCTTGCCGGCTGCTTGTGCCCAATCAAAACTGTCCATGCGCGCAAGCAGCACGCAGAAAGCTGCCGCCACACGGGGTCTGCGATGCGATAGTTTTCACGCGCGCTGCCGAGCAGAGCCTTTCTTTGAAGCGATGTGAACCCACACCAATGTTCCTCCCACATGTAAGCAATTCTCGCGTCTCATCAGACACACTCAGCGGCCGGACAGATCACGGAACACTGAGCTGCGTGGGGAGAATCTAACTGGCGAACGTCTTTCTTCCAAGCGCAGCACAATGGCATGCGCAAGCAGCCAGGCCGCATCAACTGCGGTGAACATTGCAATACGTTGCGTTTTTGCAACAGGCTCCACGCCTGCAACTTAGTATTTTGTGGTCTGCAACAACACATATTCTGTTTTCTGTGTCTTGCAACGAGTCGTGTTCCGCATTCCGTATTCTCGGTGTGTTCCGTGTTCTGCAAGCTGATGTACTTGAAGCCACGTCCGTTATTACCCCGCGCCCCCTTAGACCCTTCCTGTTAAGGCGCCTTTGTCTTCAAGCTACAAACAGAACTAAGCCACCGGGCGCTTAGCGACGAGCTGGGCAACTACATGGTACAATGTTGTGCTGGACACTCCCTAAACGTCTACTGTGAAGACACAGCCCGGATTTGGCGCATTTTGAGCAGAGAGTGAGGGTGATTGCGTGAGGCTCAGTAGGGGGTGTTTGCAAACAATTGCGACAAGCGCAACGGGGCAAGAGGAATACGTGCCGGCATGTGCTTGGGCGGAAGAGTGTAGATGGTATACCAAAAGCAGAAAAGGACTCCAGTTCAAGTGGTTAAGTTGATCCAGACCACAGAATGGGCACGCCCGTGGATGTTGGGAGAGACCTGAAAGCAAGTCGCCTTACCACCACTCGTGCATAGAGGTTTGGATGATCCTTTTGTGCTCCACCCCAAGGACACCGGTGGTAGATTGCAGCCCGCGGATTGAGAGTGAGGCAACAAACACACGTTAACCGGACCAGTGCAACCAGCAAGGACAAGGAGTTCGCAAGGAAGCTCGTGCAGGCGCTGGCTTCGCCTCTTCCCGGCTTGATACACCAAAAACCTAGCGTCTTTTGAAGTTGTGGTACAAGTTGTTCCATTTTCTCCAGGTGACCTTACAAAGGATTCTGGGCCTCGATAGAAAGCTAGTCAGATATGGCTAAATCCTGTTTGTGTTGCAAGTCGAAACAAATCGCAAGGAGAGCTCGCGGCAGATGCGGTTTCTGACTGTTCCTGGACCGAGTTTGGAAAGCAATACCAAACCAGGGATGTCAGCTGCTGATTTGTCGCCTGTTTTTCGTCGAGTCCAAGCTGAGTATGTGATCCTTGCTCTCGGGCTGTTCGCCGAAACTGGGGGCTGAGAGTGGGGCTGTGACCCGCGGCAGGTCCTGAACCGCGGCTTGCTAACGGGCCCGGAGACGCAGCAGTTCCGGGCCGGAGACGCAGCATGGGAAGCGGGGCGAGATGTGGGATGGGTTCCGTTGCAAGCCCGTGAAGCCATGCGGGCCCACGTGTGTCAGGTCCAAAGTGATATACGAAGCAAACAACACGGGAAAGCAACTATTTTGGCAAGAAAATAGGTTTGCTGCATTGCGCAACACATTGTAGCCTTCTTGTGGTCCATGCAACAGGTTGTGGCATGGCTGAAGCCAAGAAGCCTTTGACGGAATGCTACCCTCAAAGCGCTCCAAAGCAAAGTTGTGAAACCGAGCCAGACGGCCACACGCCACTGCATGAACTTGACCACGAAGTGCTTGACCACTGTTTTGTTTCTCGCCCCCTCTTTGATGCATCTGACTTACCTAGCAATGAGTTATGCATTTGTCAGAGACGAAGCGATTGTGCCACGTGCTACGATAGTGGTTCAAGCAGACACCGTGTGCAGCGTCTGTAGAGAAGTGCCTCGCGCGCTGTTACGGGCCTTTGCGTTCTCTTGATGCGGACTGTGCAGTCGGCTTCTTTGAGCTCTGTCCACAACAAATACCTTGCCAAAGTAATGTTAATATAGCTGCTCATTTTTTTTCTCACACTGACCACTGCCCATGAGATGTTTTTGCACGAGCGGAAGTGCTTGTGCATGCTATTAATCTAGGAATACACAGGAGCTGCTGGAACTGAGGCATGGCCAGATGTGAGTGCAAAAAGTATGCAGCTGTTTAAACATCACTTGGTTATCACCGGTAATCACGCTACAATTCAATATTCGAGGCAACTCCCTGATTTCTCCAGTGCCACTGAGAGCCACATCAACACAAAGCGATTGTCATTCCTTCAAGAACTGAATCTTTGCCGCACTCCATTTTTTTGCTGGCGCGGCAGAATGTAGTGCCACAGCCTGTGCCAGGTGTGATCAAAGTCTGACCTTCCTCATTTTGGCACTTGCGAGTCCTTTGTAGACTCCTTGTTTTTTAAGCACCATCTGCAGCACTTATTCGGCAAACCTCGCGCACCTCTGTTTGTTAGGCGCGGTTGCGCACGGAGCCGCGGGAGACGCCGGAGAACAGCCTTCCGCCAGCTCGGCATGTGTTGCTTTCTGTTGGTTGAAAAAGGGATTGGCCCATCCCCTGAGGATTTGCAGAAGTTTTGAGAGGCAGATGTGCTTGAGACACGGCACCTCTTTTCAAGCTTGTTATGCCTGATGGGTGATAGGTTGTGCAATGACGAATGGCGAAGTAAAGAGCTAACTTCTTGCGAAAGAGCCGAACAGCTTGGCTGATCCAAGATCGCGCTATGTTTTGGGCAGTGACCGTCAACATCCTTCTGACCCAGCGTAGCAGAGCAATACGTAGACAATTGCATATCGTTTGGCGGAGAGCCGCATGGTCATGATTCCACGCAATTCTATTTCTCAAGCCATTACGAATTGGTTGACAGGCTACATGGCTCACATTGCCAGGATGGTGCTGATGCATGCTTGGCTGCCCGGCTCCGAGTGTAGGGACGGGTCGGCAAGTCCGAATCGAAGCATTTCTCTCAGATTCACCCAGGCATGTTTTTGTTGAATCCAGATCACGAGGCATATTCTTGAGGACAGTTTCTAATCAGGCCAGAAAAGTGATGCAAAAATCCTGCAGAGCTGCTTTTGCTGTTGGCACGGCTTAGTGATGGATCTTAGATGGTTTTCTGACGAATTGACTTCTTGCGACAGTGATTGCTGGGATCGCACCTGGAGTTTCTCAGCGGGCGGAAGATTCGAACAGAGAATTGCTATACGAGCAAGTGCTCGTTGCTCAACCTGGGGTGTAGACGAAAGCTTGTACTTTCGAGGATCCATTTTGGGGATCCAAAGCCTTTTGCAAGGACGGGTCAGGTACAGTCTTCTTGAAAGCAGGCAACCTCTTGCAATCGCATCAAGCTTACACCCAGGTGTTGATTCACAGCTTTGTGTTGAGGATTTTTTTGTAAACGCTTCGCGTTGCCCGCCTCGGCCAGTCCGCTTTTGGCTGGCTTTGAGGATGCAACTGTGTTTTAGTTTGCCTTGGAGTGTTGTGTTTGTTAGAGTGAGTGAGACGGCGCCGAAATGCGTGAGCTGTTTTCCAAGGTCGAGGGTGGGTGCATGTCCGCGCGTTTCCACATGGCTTCAAGGGCAGAACGAGAGTCGCAGAGAGCTACAGAATTGCGGTGAGCTTGGGCCAAGTGAGGGTGCAATTTCAAGGGAATTTGGCTGCTTTCTAGGGGGAATTGTGCTGGTTTCTAGGGGGATTTGGCCGGAGTTTGTGTGGGGGTTTGACTGTTTTCAAGGGAGCACTTGACCGGCTTTCAACGGGATTTTGCTGGAGGTCCTAGATGGGAAGTTGACTGGTTTCTAGGGGTGATTTGATCGGTTTCTAGAGGGGGGTTGACCGGTTTCAAGAGGTTGACCAGTTTTAAGGGGAATCGACCAATTTCCGACATGAATTGTATTACGATCTAGCACACGCGCGCACGCGCGCATGTATATACAACAAATATATGTGTATACACCACATGGTCGATTGAATCCTCTGACTGCAACATTCCCCTCTTGGCGCCAAACGCCTCTTCTCAGACTCGTTTACATTAAGTCAAAGACTTGTAGAACGTAAAAATAACTGGTCTTACAGATGTTTCGGGCTCTCAGTCGGGTGATTCTGTGCCTGTCAAGAGAAGCCTCAGTGCCGCTTTGGCCGGGTTTGCCTCTCATTAGCTGGCAGGGTCTGCCCTGTGAGCTCGCTTGCCCTGAGCTTCTGGCTGAACTTGCAAGGAGCCCAGCAGTCGAACGGGGCCGGTGCTTTGACTCCCCCGCAGCAAACGCACTGCCGGAGGCCCTCATGATGCAAGCTTTCTAGATCAATACCGATACACAACAATGCGGGGTTAGGTCTGGACAAACACGGGCAAAAGTGAGGCAGGTCGCGGCAATGTGAAAAAAACAAGTGTGCTTATAGCGCCATCGCCGTGACTGGTGGCCGATGAAAGATCGGTGCCATCGCTACTTGTAGAAATTCAGGCAACCTGTGACCTTTTTGATGCAAGCAGTGTAACTCCCAAACATTGAGCATCCCAATGCATCAAGTCTGCTCCAGGAATGCTTCGGAACAGGCTCCCCATCCACTTGTAGCCATACAGTTGCTATGGACGCCCCCGCGGGGCCACATCTTCCGGGCGTGTTCTCCCAGGGCGCTTTGCTCCAAGCCCTATCGGTGACAACTAGAGTAGTTGTCCAAGAAGCTATCAAGTCATAGGTCAGCCAATTCGCTTCTTCGGTGACTGAAAGAAGGTCTTGCCTGAACGACCTGAAATCCTGTGAGAGAACGAGACGTGGAAATTGGTTGCTGAAGCGGCCTCTAGCCCACTTTGGTGCACGACCAGTGTCGTTCCATTAGCGCAGATCATTGGGGCAGCTGCATGTATTGGGGGTCAGTGTCTAAAAAAGGCAGATGCCTTAAGGTACGAGCTGGCAGCTGGACTGGCAAACAGGCGCGCAGTGGGACACCCCGGCTTAGAATGCAGGTGGCTGATCATGCCAGACTTGGATCGAGACCGCTTTGCCAGGCCCCCCCTGTGTCACGCTTGGTGCTTGGTTGTGGACATCATGTCGTATCCTGGGCAGCTCATTTTTCAACTGTAAAAGGCGGTTTGACAAACCAGAATCTTGGGGAGGGCATGCGAATTCCAGATTCTCGACACAAGGCAGCGTCTTGCTGACGGACAGCATGTCGCAAATCATGTTTGGCAGCCCAAATGCTTATCCAGGATATATACTGGCGCGGCCATTGCAGAACAGTGCTTGTCAGTTTGTCACACGCGCACACACACACACACACAAGCCTTGAACCAGCACAGAAGGTTTCAACAACCGGAGGATGGTCAGCTGTAAAGGGAAACAATCATGGTACAAGCTGCAAGAGAGCCCCCTTGCCAAGCTGGAGGCAGAAGCCAGTCATTCATGGCGTTCTGGGGTGAATTCGGGGAGGCTTGCTACATCTTTGCACACCGAGGGGCTCAAGGCCAGGAAGGGTGTGCCGGGAAAGTTCTCGTCGATCCGCAAGTGACGTAGTGTCACACACTGTCCGGCACCTTTTTTTTCTTATGAGGCGTGAGAGGTGCGTTTCTTTTAAACACGTGGGCTTGTTCACTTGTAGCAGACTGCGGACTTGCTCAAGGTTCACCCAGTTTTCCCATGCTTTCCCTGGCAACAGAGAAGATTTGGAAAAGTGGTCGGACCCTGGAACTGGACAGAATCTTATTCAATTCTTGGCGGCCAGGGGCTGCATTGGACCATCGTCGTTTTCTTCGGAAGCCCAGGCCCAGCTCACGGAGTTTGTGGAGCTGCTGGAATCTCCCGCGAGGGCCCTGGGAGGAAGAGGGTGACCTTGGATCAAAGAATTGACGAAAGTCAAGGGGACTCTTTGCCTCTCTCTATGAATGTTTGCGCCTACGGGCAAGTGGGTGTTCTACGTAGTGCGAGCGCTCCAACTGTAGGCCAACCTTGTTCTAGATGGACCTTCATGCTTACTTGGGACATTCTGAACACGACTCAGGAGATGCCTGTTGTAATATGGGTTGAGGTGAGGCATGAAACTGGCTTATCGCTTATTTGCTCCAGCCGTTTGGGCCATGATTCCTCTTGACAGTCCAGGTCCAATTTCCCAGCAACACCAGTACGTGAGCGCCAGTAAAAGCCAGATGCTCCGGGCGCAGGGAATACACTTGGTGAAGCACTAAGCTCAGCATCAAAAACTACCCTGAGCCAGTCATCCCGAGTGGATGAAGCTGCATCGTTGCGCGCGGGGCGGAGCCTTCCCTGGCAGTGCAGAGGGGGAGCTGTCGGTTCTCTGCTGGAACCTTCTTGCGCCCAGCCGTGAGGAGGCCAGCGTGCACGCAGGCATTGCTTTACAACAGGGAAGCGCCTTGATATGGGTTGATTTGCAGCTGCCATACCAAGCAACTAGAGTTTGAGGTGTACTTTGCCATTCCCCGCCAGGCCCCTGGTTGATTGGCATCCGCTAGGCCCCTGTAACCTTCTTCCCCGCCAGGGCGCAGCTGTCGGGCGCTGGGAGCAGCGCCTGTGCGCCCTGCTGCGGGCGCTGGAGCTGTACGCGGCCTGCGACGTCCTCTGCTTCCAGGAGCTGGAGATCGGCGCCTCAAGCTGAGGGCACGGGACGGGGAGAGCAGGGCTTGAGGCAAACATGGAGTGTTGGATCTGGAGACGTTCAGCTGGCCACTCCCGGCAGATGGTGGGCTCACTGGCAAGACATATAATTATGTATATATATATATATATATGCATATACATATTTCTCCAAGAAGCGCGAAGGAGTTGAACTCTCACCAGACTCAGAATGCGAGGCCGTTGGGCTTGTAAAAGAAGACTCAGAGACATCAGCTGTTTCCTTCAACATGAAGCTGTTCTTTGTGCTCATTTGTCTTGGACATTTCGCTTCCATGTTTGCCCATTTGGCAACCCCCCCCCCCAGCAGCTACCCCAACTTGAGGATTCCGGACGCTCGAGGTGCCTCCTTGGAGCCAGTGCAGGGCTTCTTGGAGGAGCGGGGCTTCCTCTCTGTGGTCCAGGACCGCGAAGGCGGGGAGAAAGCTTGGGCTCGTGGACCCATTCGGCCCCCTTCTAAGCGTCAGGCAATCAAACTTGGTCTCCCTGCGATGCTTTCGTATCGCGCAACCACTCCTCGCGCCTGATTCGCGGGAGTGGTGCACGACACGGTTTCGGGGGTTGGGGATGTCCCGCGTGCATGTGCAAGGCTATCCTGTGGTTAATGCTACCTTCTTTCGGCCCTGGCTGCGCCTGACGTGGACATCTTCGCGGTCCCGGATCCTGCTGGCAGGGCTGCTGCTGCCCTCTGGGCGAGAGGCCTGCGGGGGGGGGGGGGGGAGAGAAGAGGCCTTTGGCGCCGTTCCGACTGGGATTGCTTGCGTTTTTGCAATTGTTTATAGGCGCGGAGGGTCGCACGCTCGTTGTGCCCCACCCCCACAGAGGAAAGAGTGCCCTCTCGCGACGGGCGGAATGACAAGGCAACTAGTCTCTTTTTTTCGTCTGAGCGGCCACCGATTTGGTACACCCAGCATCGCCGAAGCCATCGGCCTCGGCAAATCGACGACAGATTTGTGCAGTTGTGGGAACACAGTCGAAATATGAACAAGCACAGTCAGAATCAACTACCAACCAAATGAGTAGAACACTACAACTGGTTTGAGTCAGAGCTCACAAGACCTTGACAAACTGGACATCCGGGTCAGAGCATTTCTTCTCGAATATGGATGAACTACGTGCTGCCGCTGCGACGAAGGCATTCCATCCCATGGTGTGCAACACGGACGTGATTTCCTTATAAGACACGCATACATGTTGTGGCGACCCGGCTCAAGATGGCCTTGCCTACTTAGATTCTTGCTTGCTAACCAAAGGAGATGTCGGTTATTCCCCTTTTGCCGTCGCTACTGATAGTAAATAGCACCAGTGCAGCGCAGGGGTCCTAGCTTCCTCATGTTGGGAAGGCCTACGATATGAGGGAATTCGAATTGCGCAGGAGTTGCGGGGTGGTTCATGGTTTTGAAACCAGTTCAAGAATGCACCTGCGATGAACGGCTTCTTCTCTGGCTCTGTTGGCTTTGAGTGGGTGCATCTTTTTATCATGCACTTCGACATCTCCCTGAGTGATGTGCATGAGCCCGGTACGCTTAAATTTAGGCCAAGGTTCGACTCTTTTCGGGAACCCTGGAAGAAAACTACCCCCACAAACAATGGCAAACCACGGCAAACCACAGCAAAGCGCGGCAAAGCGCGGCAAAGCGCGGCAAAGCACGGCATATTGCGGCATATGCCTTTTTTTCCCCGTGTCCCCCTTGGCAACACGCAGACCGTGTCTATGCCGTTCGCATAATTTTGGCCGGGAGGTCTGTGTGGCCAATGTGCACCTCGACGCCCGCCGGGGCCCCCAGCGGGAGGCGCAGCTCGGGAAGTCTCTGCTGAAGTTGGAGCAGGCGAGGTCGCGCCTCGGTCTGATGGCGGGCTTCGAATTTGGGCGAGAGCGGTGTTGTGAGGTTAATGTCAAGGTAACAGCATATTTTCAGCATGGCTCATGTAAATGCATCGAGTGATTGCCAGGCAAGTACTGGTGTTACTGCAAAGTGTTGAAGCGTGAGCGCGTGAGGTTTGTTAGAGGTTACAGCGAACGGCCCCAGCATCAAAGATGGGATCAGTTGTGTTGCACAGATGTCACGAAATCAAAAAGAACTGGGTCAATTTGAATCCAAGGCCATTCCAACGCGCCGGTTGAAGCAGACCGAAGGATGAGACTGAAGCATACGGGTGAGCAGTAACAGACAGAGAACACAGAGTGTGCCATACCAAGGAGCTACAAGATCGTTTGTGGTGATTTCAACACCGACCTCACCACCGACCCTTTGTTCGGCATTCTGCGTGTCTACGGTCTGTGAGAAGCTCAGGTGACCGGGCTTTGCTGGCTTACCTTCCATCGGAGACCCTTTTCGAGTTTTTCCATCCATTCCAGAACGCTGCATGTCGCAGCTTTCCAGCCACAACTTTGACACGGGTGCAAAGCCGACGTCTCCATACAACTCAATTGGACCCCTACTTGGCGATTCTTTCATTGCCTTGTATGCAGTTTTTGATGCTTTCCCACGGGGTGGTGTTTGGCCGGGAGGTTCCGGGCCCCGACCAGCGGGCTGACCCACGCCAACGGCGCCGGCCTGGACCACCTGTGCGCAGGCCGAGCGCTGCAGCCGCGGCTGGTGCTGCACAGCGGCGTCCGGGAGCTCCGGGCGCTGCTGGGGCGACTACCCTGCGAGGTGAGACCTGGGCGGGGTGGAGATTTCCAGAGGCTTGCAACTGAACCATGCTAGCTTGTGTGATGGCGGGAAAACCATCATACATGGGCGTCCAACAGCCCCTGTTGGATGCAGAGGCCAGTCTTGTGGCTGTATCAGTTACTCACATTTCTTTTAGCAGTGGACCCACGCGTGCACGCAGTGTGTGTGTGTGTGTGTGTGTGTCTTTGCGAGTTGTTTGTTTGTTTGTTTGTGTGTGTGTGTGAGTGTGCGTGTCTGTCTGCCTGACTTTTTGTTTGCCTGCCTTTTTCTCTGCCTGGCCGTTCTGTCTGCCTGCCGGCCTGCCTGCTTGCTGCCGGCTTTTGTTCCTTTTTTTCTTTTCTCTTTTTTTCGTTGTCTTTTCTTTGTTTCGTTCTTTCTTTGCTTGCCTGCCTGCCTATTTGTTTGTTTGTGAGTTTGTTAGTTTGTTAGGTTTGTTGTGTCTTTGATTGTGTATTTGTTTGCTGTTTGTTTGTTTGTTTGTTTGTTTGTTTGTTTGTTTGTTTGTTTGTTTGGGTGTTTGTTTGTTTGGGTGTTTGTTTGTTTGGTTGTTTGTTTGATTGTTTGCTTGTTTGCTATGGCTTGGTTGCTATTGCTTGCTATTGTTTGCTTGCTATTGTTTGCTTGCTATTGCTTGCTTGCTATTGCTTGCTTGCTTGTGCTTGCTTGCTATTGCTTGCTTGCTATTGCTTGCTTGTTATCGCTTGCTTGCCATTGCTTGCTTGCTATTGCCTGCCTTGTTTGCTATTGCTTGCTTGTTATCGCTTGCTTGCCATTGCTTGCTATTGCTTGCTACTGCTTGCTTGCTTGCTTGCTTGCTTGCTTGCTTGCTTGCTTGCTTGCTTGCTTGCTTGCTTGCTTGCTTGCTATTGCTTGCTTGCTATTGCTTGCTTGCTTGCTGTTGCTCGCTGTTGCTCGCTATTGCTCGCTATTGCTCGCTATTGCTGCTATTGCTTGCTTGCTATTGCTTGCTGTTGCTCGCTGTTGCTCGCTATTGCTCGCTATTGCTCGCTATTGCTGCTATTGCTTGCTTGCTATTGCTTGCTGTTGCTTGCTATTGCTTGCTATTGCTTGCTATTGCTTGCTATTGCTTGCTATTGCTTGCTATTGCTTGCTATTGCTTGCTGTTGCTTGCTGTTGCTTGCTGTTGCTTGCTTGTTATCTATTGCTCGCTTGCTTGCTTGCTTGCTTGCTTGCCTGCCTGCCTGCCTGCCTGCCTGCGTGCTTGCTTGCTTGCTTGCTTGCTTGCTTGCTTGCTTGCTTGCTTGCTTGCTATTGTTTGCTTGCTTGCTACTGCTTGCTTGCTTGCTTCCTTGCGTTTTCTGTGTGGCTTTATCATTCTGTGTTTGTGTCTGTTTTTCCTCTGTAAGCACGTTTTGTGCACCATCATTGTCAGGGGGCTGTGCGTTCGCCTGCGAAGCCCGAGGAGTATCCATCTGATCACCTACCAGTTGCCGTCCGCTTTGACATCGTCTCGGCCTCTGACTGGCAGCCAGATTCAAAGCATTGACTCGACAGCTTTTCTTGCTCAGCTTTCTATTCACCCGGCCCCTTAGAATGAACTCTCTCTCTGTCTCTGTCTCTGTCTCTCTGTCTCTCTCACTGGTTTTTCCACTCCTTTGTTTGATGTTGGCTAGGGATCTCTCATGATCTCCAACACCGCAATGGTCTTGATTTGCGAGGTTTGATGAAGTGTTCCTTGTCTCTTCCACCACTCCACTTTCCATGAACCCGCACCAGTTGAAGAGAACATGGATCCATGTCATTTATCCTAGCTATTCATGCCAGGATTGCTGTGATTGCATGGCCACCCATCAGATAGCTATCAGCGTTCAGGCTGGATATCTTCCATCAGCCTCAGTCTTTGGACACCATGCAGTATCCAAATTCTCGTGATATCCATTGCAACCATGAGCAACTCCCCTGCGGCCCACACCATTTTCCTTTTGCCGTCCCAAGCGAGGAATCGATCCAGCAACTCCACGAACTTACCAGGGGCAAAAGGGGCGACTCTCAGCTGGTTTTGCCCTAAAAAAGAAAGAAACACCAACAGCACTTCCCCATTTCTTTTCCCGAGCCAAGGCCCACGCCCCGGCTCTCGTCCCCCAACCTCCCCTCGGAGCTGCGGGCCGCCTGGGCAGACCTGGCGGTGCAGCACACGCAGAGCCGCAACCTGCGGCGCCAGCTGCGGGCCCTCGAGGCGGCGGCTTTTTGGGCGACGGACAGGGTCTGGGTTGTCCACCTCGGGACAGATGTGGCGTTGTATCATTTGTTATATTTGGTTGGTTCCAGAAAGAAGCTGCCGTTCAACTTGTTGAGAGGCCTATCCTTTCAGAACAAACCCTTGAGCTTTGTTTTGCTTGTTGGGTTGCTTTGTCAGGAATGGAAACCAGACGAGTCACATGTTCAAAGAGGGCAAGAGATGTCCCTGCCAGAGTGTGTGGCTCAGGGCGAGGTAGGGTGGGAGCGCCAGACGTTTTTGTTTTTCACTTTCCCATGGGCAGCAACAGTTGGTCCCACGTTGCATTGAGCACGGAGGTTTCGACATGATCCGCTTGTCGCCACCTTTGCTGGCCCACGCTGGAATTTGACCATGTGCGATGAAAACGGGGGTGATTATGCAGGCGCTTCAGGAGCCACGCTGTCACAGAGCAGGAACGTTATATCTGCGGTATCTCACAAGGCCTGCCGAGAGCTCTCGAAGCCTCCTGCAATGCCGTGGGACAGGAACGATGTCCTCAATCCGTCAAAGCGTTTAAAGTTGCAATTTCCGTCACTGAGCTTGTCCAAAGTGGGGCTGAAAGAATTCTTGGCGGGGCCGTCTGGCACGAGTCCACCTGCGGCCCCGGACCAGGTGGCTTCCTTTCCAAGGACCAGGATTCGTGCCAGAGTAATGGCCAGCATCGAGCATCAGGATGACCTGCGCTTCAAGGCTTTTCTCAGATGAGGCTCATGTTGGAGGTTGACATGGAAGCCACTGAGTTGGGCAAGCTTGTCGTGTCTGAAGGCGCATGTGAGAGATTGCAGGCTTTTGGCAAGACCATCAGAGACACCTTTGCGGCCCAAGCTACTGCCACCATTTACCACAGAACCAGATGCTACTGGAGATTTTTCACTTGGTGCAGGGCAGCGCAAGCGGGCAATGGGCTGAGGCTTTCCGAGAAGGTCGTCTACAAGTACTTGTCGTACTTGCAGGAGGAGGGCGCAGGCGCCACGAGTGGCGATGATCGCGGCGATGCCTTTTTACAATCCTTGAGGTTTTTCCACGCCAGCTGGCAGTTCGTTGGGTTGAACCTGGATCAGGAACTGTCAGCAAGAGTGAAGGGAGTGGCACATGTGCTTTACTGCAGGCTCTCTCGGTTGCAGAACTTGCAGCGCTAGAGGATATTGTTCTGGGCACAGAGGCCAGCCACGTTGGGGTTATTGCGGGATACCTCTTGTTTTGCGCCATGTCGTGTTGCCGTTTTTCTGACGCACTCTTCGCGATTGACTTCGTAGTGTCTTCGCACGGGAGCACAGTTCTTATCGAGGCCGGAACCAATGTGCGCAAAACTGCCTCCAGTAAGGAGAAGAAGACTGTCCTTCTCCCTCTTGTGGCTCTCGGCAAGGTGTTCCGCAGTGACTCCTGGGCCAAAAAATGGTTCAGCCTCAGACAAGCCTGCGTGCCTAAGAACATCCGCTTTGTCCTGCCGGCTTACTCTGAACAGTCAAGGAGGTGGCTCAACAGGGCAATGACGACAGCTGAAGGCATTTTATGGATGCAGGACATCATGGGCTGGAAGTGCACCACCGGTGGTTCCTTAACCACCCACTCTCTGAAGGCTACCCTGCTCAAATGGGCCACCATGAGCAACTCCATGGACATGCAACAAAGGAGGATCTTGGGTCATCACGTGGACCCAGGAAGTTCTTCGCCGCTTACATATGGGCGGAACAATGTGGCTGCCACACAGGTGCAGGTAGCGGCCATGCTTCAACGCATCAAAGCCGGCAGATTTGACCCGGATGAAACTCGAGTGGCCTTTGTGGATAGACAGATAGCATCCTTCTGCGCAGAAATCGACAATTTCGACGAGCGTCTGCAGTACGGTGATTTGGATGCAGTCGATGCCTCGGACGTGGAAGATGCAGACGAAGCTGAGGCTGAAGCTCATGAATCTAAGGCAGCGCTGAGAATTTTCTTGCCAGCTACCAGTTCCCGCCAGGCGATCTTGTCAGGGAGTGGCCCTTGTGCCAGCAGTGCGGAAATGCAAGTGGCGAAGTTATTGAGGACATATTTGGCCATGTTTGACATGTCAATGCAAGTGCGTGAAATATGCAGCTCGCAGCCAGCGGTGGTCCATTGTGTCAGGTTTAACTTGTTTTTCTTTCAACGAGCCAGGGGACTTTGGCCAGTCTTATGCCGATTTTGAAGGGAATAGCTCCTTAGTGTCCATGTTTGAGAAGGTCACCCTTGGGCCCCACTTCAGTTTGAAGAGGCCATTGTCTCGGCCCTCCCTATTGTCATTGTGCCGGGATTGTGTAGGCCCTTTGAAGCAAGGGCGCATGCCGTTGCATTACCGTGCAATTGTAATTTGAATCAGCGGTTCGAGCAACTTTAAGTTTCTACCATGGATAGCGAGGACTCTTTTGAGGATAGGGCCAGACAGATAGGCGTTTCACCCGATGGCATAGCAGCGCTTAAGCGCTGCAGTTTAAACACATTTGGAAAGTCTGCTTTCCTGTCGGCGTATCAGCCAGGTAGTGCAGATGAAGGGCCATTGATCACAGCCCTGGAAGAAGTCCTAGGGGCTCGGCCAGACGCCGCAAACATGGCGTCATGGCGCCGGCTCTTCTTTGAGCCGCACACCTTGGCAAATGTCAGACCTGAAAGCGCGCTAGAGCGAAAAGGGGAAGAGGAACCCAGAAGGCTCCTTATGCCCGAACGTGTCGAGAAGTTACGCCTTGCCAAGCAGGAACTGGTGGGCATCACGATCGATGCTCATTTGGAGCCCGCACATAGGCTTGTTGATGCCACAGTTCAGCAAGTAGAAGAATCCTCACTGCGGTACATCGCACTGACAGAATGCGTTTCGCGTGAGATGGAGCTTCTGAACCAGAGGAAGGATTTGGCAATTGAGTTCTCTTCAGATGGCACCATGAAGCTGAGCCGAAAGCAGAAGGAAATTAGAATGGGCATTTCCGGCGAGCTTCGTGTCCGTATAACCATGCAGAGGAGGGCGCTGGCTTACCATTTGGCGAGTGTGTGTTCCTTTCCAAAGCTTGATGCAATAGTACAAAGAATGTTCTCGCTCCTCACAAAGGAGCCAGCCAAAGGATTCCGCGCCTGAAGTGAGGTACCACCTGCTACCCTTGCCTTTGTCGTCCCGCGCAGACCCTCCTCGTGCAAAAAGCAGAAGGTAGAGCATTGGCCACCGCCAACAGGCCCAAGCCGCCCAAGCCGCAACAAAGGAAAGGGCAAATCCAAAGGCATTGACTTGCCTTCGGGGTGTGTGCCGGAAACACCGTCAAAGCAGAGAATTTGTTTCCAGTATAACAAAGAGCGGTGTAATCATCAGGATGCAGACAGTTGCAGCAGGGGATTGTGTGTTTGCTGGAAGGCAGGCTGCCATGGAAAGCATCCGCACACCAGGTGCAACTGCAGCTGAGTTACAACGCAAGGGTCGGAAGCGCTTCGGCCGGCCCCGGAGCAGTCAGAAGAAGCAACCATGAAGGTCGGCCGTTTTCAATTTTCCTTACCGGTCCCGTTAGCTTCCTTGGAGCCAGTAGATTTTGTGTGCCCTCTTGAGCAGCTATTGGTTCTGGAAGTGTTCGCGGGAGTGGCCTCGCTTTGCCACGAATGCCGAGCAGCAGGTTTCACTGTGATGTCAGTTGACCAACAGCAGCACAGGTTTTGCGAAGCAAAACTTCTGAAGCTTGACCTCACAAAGCCCAAGGACCAATTCGTTCTTTTGCATGCATGCGTTTTTGCAAACATTGCGTATGCGCACTTCGCACCGCCACGCGCGACATCTTCAAGGGCGCCACCGCTAAGATCTGAACAGCACTGCGTGGGCTTTCCATGGCTGCAGGGCCAGGACAGACAAAGAGTGCATTCAGCAAACGTGTTGTACGCCCTTACGTTGATTGCGGTGGCGCTGCTGGTTCACCGACGGGCAGTCGTCAGCGTGGAAGGGCCCAGCAGCTCATACATGTGGTTTGTCTTAAAGTCTCTTTGCAGCAAACACGCAGTTTTGCAACAGTCTTGGCATAGTCTGCAATCGAATGTTTTTGCGGCCTGCGTGCACGGTGGCGCTTGTAATGAGCTCACAAATTGGCGAGGAACCAAGGGCGTTTTCGAAAACCTGCGAAAACTATGTGACGGGTGCCACCAGCATGCAGAGTGGACGCCATGTGTTGTTGCCAATGGCCGGCCTATGTTTCCACCAGCAGCAGAAACAACTCACCCCGACCTGTTGTGCCAGCGCGTCCGTCAGCTTGTTTTGTCATTCAAGAGGGGCAATCGTTGCAGATGCACACCTGGCAAACGCGCACTTGGTTCGTGGCCGTGCTTTTCGGCAAGCCGGGCAGCAGCAACTGCCGCCCTTGGTTGCAGAATACGCAGTGATCACAGACACTAAACCCTCAGACATGTCTATGGCCAAACAGTTGAACCATGTTCCTTTCTTGAAAAGGGGGGACGTTTCCTCAGGGAGCTGTGGTACCAAAGTGGAGGTGCAGGATGAACAGGCTGCCCTTTTTGGCATCTACAGGTCTCCCCATGAATTTTTCCTTGCGTCTTTGGAAGCTTGGCATCCGCTGGACTTTGCTTTTCCTTTGCCTGACATGTTGATGAGAAATGTGGCCAGGGTCCTGAACGATGGGCCCCAGCTCACAGTTGCCAGACGTAGGCTGCAAATCAAGAAGATTCAGAGGAGACGATTGCAGCTGCAAGCGCAAGAGCAAGAGCTGCGCAACTCGCTTCATCACGAAGTCGGGCTGGTCCTGAAAGGCAAGAATCTTCTTCTGTGGAAAGAGCTGATGCAGGAGACTGGATACAACGACTCTTCATTGTTCAATGAGGTGGTCAGGGGTTTCGAGTTGTGTGGGCAATCTCCTGTGAGCCAAGAGTTCCTGCACGGGTATGTCCCTCCGCAGCAATCGGTGGAAACCAGGCGCTGTGGATGAGGAACCCTCAACGGGAAAATGCAGGTCGACTGGTGACAGGCAGCTTGACGAAGAGGTCTGGCTGAAAACGCTCCAGGAGAGAGATGCGGGGTGGCCGCACGGCCCCTTCACAGAGGCGGAGGTCACCAAACATGTAGGTTCAGAATGTTGGCTCGCCACACGGAGGTTTCCTTTGCAGCAGAGGGATAAAGTGAGGCTCATAGATGACGGGCTGGCCTCAGGGCTGAACTCCGCATACGACATTGGCAACAAGCTCAAATTACAAGATGTAGACGCCTTGATATCATTGGTGCTGTGCATTATGAAAGCTGCAGCAGGGGGCACGGTCCGACTCCACTTGTCTTGCGGTGAATGTGTTAAAGTCACCCCCTCTCCGGCTTGGCGAAGCAACTTCAAGCTCTTGGGGCGCACTGGACTTGACGGCAGCCTACAAGCAACTGGCGGCATTCTGTCCTGACTCTTGGGAACCGCAAAGGACTATGCTGGATCTTTTGACGTGCTAGGCATGACGTTGGATCTAGACCAGTGTGCGGCCGGCTCTCTCACCATCAAAACAAGGCTAGCCGGGTGCAAGGCTTGTTGCAGGTCCGTTGCTCAAGGCCAGTATGTCGGCGCAGCGCTCAAGCCCGTGACTGCTTTCTTGGCAGGCATAGCCCGGGATGGCTGGGAAGACAGCTTGCAAGACCAGTTGTACGATGCTATGTCTTTCTTATGCAAAATGTTGAGCAACCCCAAGCCGCGAGTTGTTTCCGTTAAACTCCAGTGGTTCTTTTCACAGATGGAGCATGGGAGCCAACTTCGGACAGACCCGCAGGAGCAGGTTGGGTCATCGAGGATCAGGTAAGCGACACCGTAGTTGAGCTGGAAATCCCCAGCTGCCTTGTTGGAGTTTGGAAGAAGTCGGGCAGGTCGCAGCTCATAGCAGAACTGGAGCTGCTGCCAGTCCTGGCAGCCATCTTGCATCATAAGGATTTGGTGGCGACGCGGAGGGTTCTGCTTTTTGTGGACAATAACGCAGCGCGGGATTGCTTGATCAAGGCTGGCTCCAGATCCCCAACTCTGTTTGCAATGTTGTCACAGATTTTTCAGGCAGTGGCAGATCTGGGCAGTCTTTTGTGGGTGTCCAGAGTGCCGAGTAAATCTAACATTGCGGACTTGCCCAGCAGGGGACAGGCAGAGCAGGCAGCAGGCTTGATCAAAGGAACTGTGCAGAGCTCTCCAGAGCTGAGCTGCGAATTGTTGCAGCTGCTCTCCAGCTCAATTTCGTTCGCATCGTATTTGGCAGCAGATGGCAAGGCGCTGAAAGGAAAAGGGGGAGAGATCGCTTGAACCATTGCTTGTACATTGTGACGGCCCAGGTAGGTCCATTGTGAAAGAATTGTGTGTCATCTCCCCTTTTAAGTTGCCAGAAGCATTGTTTCTGTGCTTCCTTGAAAAGGCGCAAATAAGTACGATGGTTTTTGTAGGCTTGATTGTTTTGTGCAACCACATCCCTTACGTCTGAGGACGGAAAAGGCAGCGTGCAGTTCAGTGTCTGCTCATGATGCTCATGGCTGATCATGTACCGTTGTCTCTCTAGGGTTTGGCTTAAAGGATGCTAATGTATAGAAATGCGGGGCTGTGTGTTGTTCTTGAAGCTTCCCCTTTTGGGGGGTTGGTTCAAGAAAGAAACTGGGAAAGACATGGCAAGGTGTAGGGAAGGCAAGTGCGGCAAGACAACTCCTGCCAAAGATGTATGGGCTCTTTGTAAGTGGAGTCCTCCACCGAAGACACACCTGAACATTGATGACTTGTTGACCTTATGTAAGCGAAAAAAGTGAACCCCCAAATTGTATCCCTAACACTTGCTGGTCCTAAAGACCAGCTTCAGAGATGCCCTGAGAAGGTTTGACTTGCAACAGGGCATCCAGCATGGAGCGGAAATGCGCCTGGCCCATGGTTCCAGCGGTGCGAGGGGTGGTTTCCGGGTCGGGCCCGGGGGGAGGCGGCTCCGCGGGCTTTTGGGACCTGGTGAGCGGGGCCTTGGGCTCGCAAAAACATGCGAGTCATGTTGCCGGACCTCTTGGGCTCAGGCTGCATGGTCAGGTCAAACGATGTCATGCTTGCTGCGTGCTTTTGCTGTGATGGTTTGCCTTCTCTGCCTCGCCAGCTTTGGCCTTAGCTGTATTTGCCAGACCGAGAGTCTCGGACGTTTGCAAACCGGACGAGTTCCGCGCAACAATCGAGCCCTTAGAAAGCCCAACATGGCCTGTGAACAGGCAACCTGTCAGCGCACAAAGCAGCAACCGCCTCGTACTCCTTTCAGCCAGCCGCATTGACCTGAGTGGCTTGACGTCAACACCTTGCTTTTCAACGAGTTCTGGTTTCCTTCTCTTGGGCATGAGAGCCTCAAACTATCTCGAAACTCGCGGCCCGAGTGCCCGAGTGCCCGTGAGCGCCAGGCGGACCTGCTGCACGCCGCGGGCGAAGAAGCGGCGGCGCAGCTGCGGAGCTGGCGCGACGCGGCGCAGCGGGCGGCGGCGCAGACCTGGGCTGCGGCGTGCGACGCGGCGCTGGCGAAGGTCCGGGCGCTGTAGAAATTGTGGCGGCCTGGAACTCACCCTCAGAATGTCTTAGAAGCCTCTGAGGAGGCCCTGGGCGTGTTGAAGTTAGTTTTGCAAGGGAGCATGTGGCATAAGGCCTTAGAGGCCCAATGCTTTCAGTCCGCGCCCATAATTTTGGATCTGTTGCGACAGATTTCCGCCCTTCAGCTGGGCGAACAGCCCAAGCGTGCTGTGTACAGTGTACAGGTTCTTCAGCACGTGACTGACCAGGCGTGAACGGACTGAAGCAAAAAGCTTGTTTGATTGACGCGGAGGCGTGCACACAGATGACATAGGCTTGCCAAAGTAGAGGCTCCACGCGGCATCAATGAGTTGCTGCGTGAACTACACTTCACTGCACGGAATGAGTGTGAAATCAAATCATGGCGGGGCATGCAAGAGACTGCTGCAAGGGAAGGCACGGTGAACTGCTGATGTTGCCTGGGTGGTGGTTGATCGGCCACCTTCACAGGAACAGTTCTGAGTCCATGCCAGTGTGAATGCATATGTGCTCGTGTGCAAGAATGTGTGTGAGTGTGTGTGTGTGTGTGGTGTGCCTATTGAAACGAGCTGCACGAGCTTCTGTGGCAGTTCCTTGGTTGGGTGTGCCGAACCGCTGGCTTGAAAGAATCTCGTGGGCACTTGCGGCAACTCTTGAGGGCCAAAGAAAAGCCCCTGGTTGGAAGGGCACATCCAACAGTAAGAAGGACATAACTTTCAAGATTTGTGTGTCATCTTGCGATGGTACCCTTTTTCTTTGTAGTTTTAAAGGGGAACAACAGGAAAACCATTTTGAGGGTCCCCTTATTTTGGAAGACAGTTTGCACGCCTCATCCGATTTCTGACAGTTTCCGCTTTTTGGGCCATGACTTGGCAGTTTGTCACGCCAAGGTCTTTAGCGACGTGCGGCTTCAGATGCTCGAGGTTCGGCTGGGCACCTAGTCTCGTGAGCCAGAGAGATTGACCAGACTGTACAGCAAGCCAGAAGACCCCAAGGCCTTTTGTGGTGAACTGATACAGGACGTAGCCCACTTCCGGCAATGACCCTCGATCATCAAGCCAAGTAGAAAGGCCATCGCTCCCAACCAGCTGAATTTATCAGCGCTGTGCCAAGCCTGTGAATCCAGGTTTCCCGTGTGGGTGTTGAAAGCCGAGCCGATCACTTCGAGTGATCGGCCACGGATAGCAAGGCTTAAGCTTGGTCCATTGGCCATCAAGGCACCGCTCCGCGTTGCTGCGGGCCATGCTGTGCTTGGGGGCGCTGTTGCCTCAGGCACGCGGACCCGGGGATTTGGGGCCCGTGAGCAGATGTGATCAGCTTCGCGTAGGTGTCGTGTGCAATTCTGTGGTCCCATCTTCCTTGAGCCCTGATGTGCCCCACCCTTGATTTGCATCAGCCTTCCCCAAAAGACTTCAAGCTGTTTCTACCAATTCTTAGGCTTCACAATGGTCAAGTTGTTTGGAGAGCTCCGAAAACGTGTGGTGCATGAGTTCCTTGCTTTTGCAAGTCAACTTGTCCATGGTGCACGAATCAAAGCAAAGTGATCAACATATCCTTGTTGGAACCAATGGTGCAGAAACACTTCCCACTTAGCTTTGGCTGCTGCCGAAAAAGGCTTACGTCAAGACTATCCTCCATCTGAACATGAAGCTCTTTCCTCATTCTCCGCCTTCCGAAAATCCTGGAATCCAGCCATGACAAGGCAAGGAACCACCCCTCAGCTACAGTATACTTTTTGAGGGGGCTCTTGGACCCAGCTGCCAGGCTCTGAGTTAACTTTAGGGTTGCAGTAACCTTGACCGTCCCTTGGAAGCAACTTTAAAAAGCCCACTGCGACCAAACGTGTTTTGTCGGAGAAATAGGGGCTCCGCTGCAGAACTGCTAGTGCAGAATCTGTCAGGCAGACCCCGGCGGCCGAACAGCCTTGTATTGCAGCGTTGAACAACTCCCAGCTGTGTGGATCGCCGCATTGGAAGCTAACAATCGGTTCTGGTATGGGCAAGTCGAGTAGCCAAGGCAAACGCGGGGCTTCAGAAGCGTTGCCTTCGAAACGCTCGCAGCCGAAACACAAGCTTGACAGCGGGCGCGACTGCGAAGATACAACATGACAAGGCAACAAAAGATGTAGCAGTTTTGAGGACCCCTGAGACCGCAATGCCGGTTTGAAGCGCTCGGTCCAGGAGAAAGCACTGCAGGGCCGCCTGCAGGTGGTGGAGACGGGCCTGCTCCTGGAGCGCGTAGTGGCCGGGGGGGGGGGGCTTTAGGGTGGGGGTTGTCGGGAGAGTTTCGAGGGCTTCTTGGGCTCGGACAAAGGGTGTTTGCAAGCTGGTTCCAGTCGACGAGTGCGGCTGACATTCAGTGGTCTTCACCGTTCTGGATGTGTGTGATCACCTCGTAGCTGTTCATTGCAAAATTGTCTGGTCGGGCTCAGCAATGTGCGTTTGCAAGCAGGTGAGAAAGGGGAGAAGGGCACGCATATGCTTTCAAGCACTTGCTTCCCTGCTAGTTGCAAGCACACTGGTTGCCTTGGATCTGACAGAGTCAGAGACATTCAAGGAGGAAGAGAGGCTATCTGGATTTAGTGTTTGTGGGCGGGGGGCAAGGCCAAAGGCCCGAAGATCTTAAGCATCTGCGAGCAGCTTCGCAGATGCATGCATGGCTGCATAGCAAAGCATGTACTTGTTGAGGGTGCTTTCAGCCAACTTTGGTACACGTGGATCCTTGTTTTCATGAGGCGCAAACAAGGTCAAGGGGGAGAGAGCGCAGCCTTCGGAGAGTGAACTGAAATTGCCCAAACCACAGCGGAGGGGGTGAAGCGGACGATGCTCCTGAGATTGTGAAGCCCCAACAATTCTCAACGTTTGTAACAGCCCTGCAATGCAGCAGGCAATGCAGTGGAGGGTCTCATAGTGCAATGCAATAGCCTGACATGCACGCCTGATCTTGTGTGAGGCCCTGCAGGAGCAAAGTCATGGGCAATGCTTGTGTCACTGCTATTTTGCCTCGAGATGCGGATACTTTGGCTTTTCCTTAGTTGCACTGAAGGCTGGCCAAATCGGTGGCTAGTTTTTTGCATTGAAAGCTTGACGTGTTTGGGCGAGGCTGATTTGTGCCAAGTGAAGGATCGGTAAGCAGAGCCCGTGAAGAAATATCGCATAGAAGATCTGGACAGCTGATCCGCCCTCGGCAGAGTGTTTAGTGGTGCTCAGCCATATCCAGTGGTGTCCGGAAGTAGCGTCCAGTAGTGCCTGATGTCTAGTGCTCAGGAAACACTGCACCATGTCATGCTCAGCTTGTCATTTGCACATGCTGGACATCCAGAAAGTTGGATTAAGCAGCAAGTGCGGGGTTGAGGCTTGAGGGAGACCTGATGCATGAGCCCTGCTGCGTTTTTGCTCCCACTCCTCGTCTAGGCGCAGCGGAGCGACCCTGCGCCGGGGAGTTGCTCTCAGCAGGCTGCGGTTTGCAAGTCAGTGGGCAACGGCCCGCTGTTTGGGTCCCTTTTTGCTTTGGTGTATGCACATATATATATATATATATGTATATATATATCTATATATACATACATATATATATATATATATATATGTGTATTAGTTCCAAGCCTGAGGATGTATGAATCACCTCAGCGCGGGGTATCGCCTGCCATGACTGATACCACAATGAATAGTAGGACTCTGCCTGTATGACCAAAAACAACCACTAATCCAAGACACAGCCGTTGCAGCGACTTTGGTCAACTTATTCTCCATGATGGGAAAATTGTTCTCCTGGACGGACAGGAGCAATTGGCGATTGCACACGTCGCGCAGTTGCTTTCATGTTTCTGTTTTGCTTGTTGGCATCGAACCAGTTCTTGCCAGATGGATGGACACGATGCTGATGCATAGACAGGAGGCTGATGCATGTAGAGCTCCAGTCATCCCATTCGTTTCCAATGAGGCCAATCAAAAAAAATGTCTCTCAGAAACTACTCAGGCACGGCCATCTTTTTTGCCCCAGGTGGCAAAGCAGACTCTCTGACAGAGTCTTGAAATGCTTCACTCAGCATTGCTGGGTCAAGGGGTGAAAGATGGACTGCCTTCCACTGGCAATGTGCATGGTGAGCTGTGCAGGCGGAGGAGCTGCTAGCCAAGTTTGAGGAGGTCTGCAAGCTGCACCGCTGGAAGGAATGCGTCGTTTGAGAAGGGCCTGAGGCTGCAGAGGGGCACGCACATCATTTATCATTCATTTCATGCATTTATTTGTTTATCGCGACCGGATCCCAGTTTGTTGAATCTGATGCATTTGTTCAATGCATTCTGGCCCAGCGCTTGTCGGACGTTGACCTGCCGAATGCGGGCAGCCTGCGGTGAAGACCAAGATGCGACAATATGATTTGTCATGGGCAGCGGGGCAGTCCTCGTTGCCTTCGGCGCTGCCAAAGAAGTCCCATCGGACATGTGGCGCCCGCGTTAACGACTTTGAGTTGCGCCATGTGGCAATGGATGCTGCGGGCCTCGGGCCCTGGGCTGAAAAGAGGAATCTGAAACTCATCTGCCAACAACGGCCGAATGGCTGTCGTCGTGCGCGGACTCTTTGGCCTTGGGGCTGGCCGTGGGATGCTGATGGACAATGTGGGCATTCTTGATGCTGCAGGCATCATTTGCACAAATAATGATCTTGCTTGGATGACGTGGCCGAGAATCACACATTCTCGCACTTTCTTCGCATCGATCTTGAGCTGCGCCAAATTGGGGACCCCTCCACGGGACAGCGCGGCGAAAGGAGACGGCCACCCTTCTTTTGGCACGGCCTCAAGAGAGAGAAGTGAGCATAACATTCAGGAACCTAAGCAGAAGACATTCAGATCCGTGCTCTTGGGGTTAGCTTTTTCATTTTTGGATTAGACCGTTTGACCTTAAAGTTGCTCCGCGGCTTGGCTCAGCTGCGGGCCGGAAACTGCGGCCCGGCGGCGCAGGCGCCGGTGGGACGGGACGTCGTGTTTTTGAGGCATGGTTCAAAGGGAAAGAAAAGGGAACCAACCCATTCGGGCATGGCTCAAAACTAAGGCACCAAGGGACCGCAGGTTTTAGTCCATGTTTCCAGTTACCAGGGCAACCCATTTTGAGGTTACCCTATTTTTGACCCACACCCCATTTGGAGGTTCCCCCATTTTGAGGCAAACCCAGTTTGTGGCACAAGTCACAATCTCAACGCGAGGCAAGCTGAAAGCTTGAGCTTATATTTGTCTCCATTCCCTGGCGTCAAGCTTTCGGGTAGGCCCATCAGTCCTGCGCCTCCTGGAGTTGTGTAAGGGGAACCCTTGCAAAGGCAGTGTATAGTCGTCGAAGAGAACTGATCTTTGAATCACACAGGCTTCCTGCGCAGGTGGGCACGTCCAGGCGTTTGGGAGCAAAAAGAACCCGGTTTCTTTGGTGGTATCAGGCAGCCAGAGGGTCCACACTCAGGCCTGACAGCCCGGGGTCAAAGTGCTGGCCCATGTAAAGTTCTCGGAGGCAAATCCAGGAACACCCATGTCGACTTGAGATCCATGAAGCAGGTGACTTGTGAGTTGATGTCTGGATGCCTTTCCTAGCCTAAAGTAAGCACCCACTCACTTGGCATTGGATTTTTTTTCGTCCGACGTTGGGCAAAAGGGGGGCACGCAGGCGATTGTTCATTCAGAAAAGCCTCACTCGTCAGTTGGGGCCTTCCGATCGGCCATCCTTGGATATCTTTGACTTGGAAGTCCTTGCTCTCGCCAGACGGCCACGGGTCTGGGTCTCTCTTGTCTTGCGCGCCGCAGCCTTGTTCCCGGCTCAGAAATTTCTCCCAGTTCCCATCTGTCAAGGTTGCGAGGCAAGGGCGGGCCGTGGGAAAGGCTCTGGGGGAAACATCTCTGGTCAGGTGTGTTGCCCAGCCACTTGGGGCCCGGAGGGGAGGGATTTAATCAGCAGAGCAACAAGTTCTTGCCAGGCCACAGGGTTTCTCTGCGTCTTTTGTTGCGTTTCGCAGGCCAAGTGCTTGGAGGCCTTTATTTGGTTCACAGCTTGCAGTTGGCACTTGCTTCACAAATTAGCTGCATGGACAGACATCGCAATCTTTGGTAACCAGGGTTACACGATGAGACACTACGGGGCCGGGCTTATGCCAAAGACGTCAGGTAGGATCATATCCTTGTGCTGCATTGCTGGGGATACGTGGGCAATCGCCGCACCATGCACTGCATGGATTCCACATGTTCCAATTCCGAAGCATAGACAAGTTTACTGATTATGGCGCCACACCATTTGTGGGCCAGCCCATGTAACAAGTGTTTGTTACTGCAATATATCTGCGTTGGAATGTATGTTCTGCGCCACTGTGTGACACCGCTTGAGGCCAGGGGCATGCTCTTGCCACACACACACTCAAAGATAGATGGTGTTGACTTATTAACCGCTTTCACCACTGAAATATGTATTGGTATTATTATGTTATTTGTATTCTATTTTCTTTGTAAACTATTATCCAATGTTTTCTTTTTGTGCAAAATCCTTGCATTTAGAGGTTGCATCAGATTCATGTTGCTTTCTTACTAATGTTTTGTTCTTTTTAGTTGTTTGCACATATTATAGCTGCCACGATTTCATATGTGTTGTTGGACTGGAATTCATTTCTCATAGACTTATTTCCACTTATGATTTCGTCTTACTCTATTCTATACTGCCATTTTTCCATATATAATCTAGATATGTATTAAGAGAATCAACTGAAACCATGCCGTCTTATTGATAACAATTTACAGACATGTTTTTGTTTCTTACTTTTTCTATATACAAGTCTTTTATCTAATGCTGACGCTGCCATATTTCTGGGAAACGCGTTTATTAATAATACCATGTTACCAACATATCCTACTTGGTTTTGTTTTTCAGCTTATTAGTTTGCAGATTAAATACATTTGCACGATCGCAGTATCAAATAATGATAACTTTATTCTTGTCTTGTTTTCCTTTTCTTTCATCTATCTATTTGTCTTCTTCTTCTAATTGCTATTTTCGAGTTGCAATGCTACGAATAACCATACTATTAAGAAAGAAGACACATATCGCTTATCTTCATCCTTTTCATACATTTCTTTTAGTTAATTCTTGCTTATCTTTGTATATATATATATATCTCTTTATTGTTTGTTCATTTGATTTTATCATTTGACTTCTTCTTGTTCCCCGACCCGGTGCTTCCGCGCCAGACATGTCCTTCTGGGGCTGCATCGTCGCTCCGGGTGAGTCCAAGAAGGCCGACCCACGGCCGCTGAAGGGACCTGAGAGGCTTTGCCCCATGGAACAGCGCCGTTTCGACTTTCGCAGAATTGCATGGCAAATGCGAAAGATTTGGTTTAAAAAACGAGCGATTTGAATGTGCTTTTGTAGGCTTCCCTCAAGAGATCTGCCATTGATGACCGGTAAACTCAGCCGAAATGCAGGGTTAAGGGGCACCGTGACGAGAAAGAAACAACTCTGTACGCATTGACTGATGCTTTGACGCGAGGTCGAGACACGAACTGGTGAGCTGCTGCATTTGTCTCAGGCCAGCGGCTTGATTCAAGTCACATGGCTGTGTGACTCAGGCATAGACAGCGCGGGGATTTGTGGTGGGCGCGGGGATTTGTGGTGACTGAGCTCGTGTTTGGGCCAGCAGCGGCGCCAGAAGACTTTGGACCGTTTCGTGCAGATGCGTGCCTGAGTGATGTGTTGCCTGGCTTTGTATATGGGGTTTTGCGTTTTGAGCGCATAGGCCTTTGCCTACATGGGGTGCACGAGCTGTGAACTCCAAAGAGTAGCGCTTTCTTGGATCTCTGGGCCTGCACCGAAGAGCTGTTTTCGCCGCCGGCTCCAGGCGTGCCTGGCGCCGGACACCGCTAGCGGGCTGGCCTCAAAGGTGCTGGTGGAGCAAGGGGGTCCGGCAGCCCAGGTCTGAGGCTGATTTGATCCGTTGGCGGCCGGCTAGTTGTTGACCATGCGCGGCTTCGGAATAGAGGTTTATGCACCACAAGATGCATTTGATTCATTGTGGCTAGCGGGATTCTTGGACAGGGTCTAAGATGTATGCATGCGGCACCGCGGCCTGCGATAGGCCAGCTGCTTTTGACTGACAAGACTGAGCTTCCCACGATCTGTTTTGACTTACTTGCCTGGCGCAGCAAGGCCTCGGGGCGTTTTAGAAGTGTTGACAGCTCGTGGTAATTCAGCAGTCGAGAACCGCTTCCCGCGGAAAAGGTGATTCACGCCTCCATGCGCTCAACACATCAAGATCCTTCATCCACTCAGCCCTCCGGCTTGGCACATAGAAAAAACAACGCCAATTTTTGCATCCTGCCAAGTATCGCTCAGCTCAGCGAATGCGAACAAACGCCACAGCCCAACTGAGAATCAACCCCCCTCCATCATGGCCAGCGAGCGGCTGCGCCCCGAGCTGGGGCCATCTGTCTGGACCCACCCCTTGGTGTGGCTGCCGCTGTTGGCTTTGTTCAACGTGGGCGGCTTCGCGCTGCTGGGCGCCTGCGGTCTGTGGGCTTGGGCGGCGCTGGCGGCGCTGGTGGCGCTGCTGGCAGCGCTGCTGCTGATCGTTACCTGGGCCATGGGCCCTTGCCATGGCAACAGCACCAAGGCAGGGCCGCCTTGGCCCAGGCTCTAGTCTTCTGCTTGGTTTTGTTGCCAGACTGGCGATGCAGTGTCGTTCTTTTTCCTTCCTTCCTCCCTTTCCTTTTTTTTTTCCTTCCCTTCCCTTCCCTTCCCTTTCCTTCCCTTCCCTTTCCTTTTTTTCTGCCCTTCCTTCCTTTTTACGCCACGGTCTGCTGCGTTTTGCCACCCTTTCTTTCGAGGCCTTCCATGCGGACTCGCTGTGTTTGGCGCACGGCAAGATCTTCATGTCCCGCGCCCCCGGGCGCGGCAGTAGCGTGGAGCAGGACCTGGCAGAGGTGAAACGCCAGGGAGTGACCTGCGCGCCTCGGAAAGACGGGGTCGCAGCGGTCGCAGCAGGGGTTTTGGGCATCATGGCAGATAGACGTTCTTTGATGAACATTCGGCTGCATGTGTTTTGGTTCTCTTGTTGATTCAAGGTTTTGCCCTAGAGGCCTTCTGGTATGAGAGTCATTTGCTTGTCCATCTTTGGAAGAGGTGCTGAGCTTTCTAGCTGGAGCTGGGGAGGAGCTTCCATTGCGACCAGGGAAGTTGGATCAGCTGATCAGCCTAGGTGGTCACTCTCCTAAGCCATGACGAGCTGCAGAGCCGCCCGGCAAGCGGGCCTGGGGCGGAGGATGGCTGGGTTGACATGTTTTAGCGGGATCAAACTCTCGGACCTTTTGTTTGTGGCTTTCACGCAAGTGTTCTGCATATGGTAGACCGCCAACGAGGCCCATGGCGGATGCTTCACAGAGCGGAATGCCTTCCGAAAGACTTTGGGTCAACGGCATATTTGTTTTCTATATCATGTCAATGGGCAGTAATCAATCGGGAGGGTTCAGTTTGAGGCAATCTTTTTGGCTGTTTGTCGCTTGCATCTTGTCTCCAACCCAAAAGGGCCATGGTTAAAACAACAAACAACTCATATGAGTCACACGAGCCATGTTCACGGCTCGCCCTGCATCCCTAACCGCCCTAAATCGCCTCACTGCTTCTCTCATTCTACCTTGATCCAGGCCCATGGTCGTGGAAAAGAACATGGTCTTGGGTCCGTTTTCTGGGATCAGAAAATCATCCCTTATCGGCAAGTGGTGCTGGGAATCCCACTTGGGGTGTCACTTTGTGTTTTCTCCTGGATTCGAATTCAAGTACTCCGTACGGCAGATGGGTTTCCCTTCGCTCCCCCGGACTTTGAGGGCGCGGACCGACTTTTCGACAGGAGGGCTGCAGAGAGCCGTGGAGGCGGAGGGAATGAGCTGGCTCCACCTGGACCTGCGAGACCGATGGATCCCCTGGGATTCGGAGGCCTACCTGATGGACCTGGTGCTGCCCCTGGTGGACGCACTGCAGGCGGATGAAATTGAAGAACGGCATATAAAGATTGGCCAAGATACTGCCCTCCATGTCATTTTCATAGAACCAAGCTTTGAATTAAGGACCTGAAGAGTTTTTTGGACTACTTGGAAATGATGTCCACCGAAAAGGATCCAATTCATATATAATTTAAGGATGCTCTACTGCCGTGCCGCAGGTGGCCAACGGCTCTTTAGGGTGCTTGTGGAGCCATGTGTGACTCTGTGATTGGCCGGGCCTTGTCTTCTTGCACGTTTTTCTATGTTTGTATGGGGAATTTGTGAATTGGCGGCCTGCTCACTGCGGGTTTGCGCTATTTTTGAATAAATGTCCAACTTGGCATTGTCAAGACGCTTCTCGTTCAGAATTTGAGCATTGGACAGGACATTGGCCTTTGTGCCCACACTGAATCAGATGTCACTTCTGCCAACCATTTCTCTTTGCCCAGGGCGGGGAGAGCATTTTGGTGCATTGCCACGGGGGCAAGGGCCGCACGGGCACGTTGGTGGCCGCGCTGCTCATGACCTCGGCGGGCGGCCACCTGAGTTTGGTGCAGGCGATCCGGTGGATGCGCAGCGTGCGCCCGGGGATGCTGAAGAACCCGCTGCAGCAGCTCTTCCTGCTGCACCTGTGGAGCTCCTTGAGCCACATCTGAGAGCGCTCCCTGAGACGTGGAGAGCGATAACGAGCGCGCCGCCCTTGTAGCACGACGAGTCGCGCGGCGAGACGCAAAGCGTGATAGCATTGCCGCGGCTCCGTGAAAGCATCGTGAATCGTCTGCCTTTCCAGTGACTGAGGCAGCTGTGCATAAACTACATTGCTTGCAGGGTTGCTCTCTTTCCTGGGCAAGTCAGCCAGAATCGACCAGCTGACATTTTCGCGTATCTATCGCGTTTTCTATCACAAGAAACAGCCCTGTAATGGGAGAGCAAGCCAAGGACTTGGCCTGTTGACTTCGGTTGTACAGTAGACGCAGGCAGCACAAAATGAGACTCTGTGGAGCCGGCGAGGAGAAGGCTTGGACCATGGATGCTTTCTAGGAGACGTTCAAGCCAGAGGAAGCCAGTGGAGTGAGGCCATTCCACAGCGATGCATTTGCGGACCAACTCAGGTGGCTTCGAGCTTTGCTGTAATCATTTACAGAATCTTTGGAACGACCTCAAACCGTTTTCAGTCGTCTGGAAGGCCCCAAACTTTGCGCTTTTTGCGGATTCGGAGAGCAAAGGCGGCGCGGTGCGCTTCGAAAAGCGGCGCGAGGTCAGACCTATGCAGTCGCCTGCCTCAAGGAGGGCAGCCAGGAGACTTCTCCCCATCAGGTGATCAGGTGATGCACCGAGTTACGAGGTGTGAGGATTTGTTGCAACATGAGATGTGCTGTTCCCCCAAACGGTCACCGGCTACGATGCACGCGTGGTGAAGTTTCTCTTTTGGCCGGTGCACTTGAGGTTTGTCCCTGAGAAAGCAGACGGATGTCCGCTCCTGAATGAGCGCTTTCCTCTCGTAGGACTTCTGTGCCCTCGACCTCTTCTTGGATGCCAAGGAAGCAAAGCTGGCGGTGAAGGGCAAGGCTCGGAAGGGAATTCGGCGAATTAGAATGAACCTTCGGCCATTTCACCACTTGGTTGTAGACCAGTCTCCGTTCCCGCCCTCCCTCATGATGCTGTTGTCCTTTTTGTCAACCATAGGCCTAGGTGAGGTTTCACTCATCGAGAACATACCGCATGTATTTCATATTCTGAGATACTTGTTGCTCACCTTATTGCTTGCCAGAACCGCTCAAACACATACTCATACAGGGCCCTTGTTGCTACAAGGACTTTTTGGCTTCTTGCCCTGGACGCAGTTCTTTGAAATGGCGCAAGCTAGACGCAATGAGGGAGCCGACGACAGCAAATGTTCGGAGTTCTCCCACCCCTTCTCAAAGTAAGATACCAACTTCCGGCACGTAGGGCACGTGCGAGCAGAAATCGAAGCAACCATTCCAACCTTGGCGATTGCCGCACGTTCATGGCATGCTTGGCAATCGCGATCAAACACACCAAATATGTTTCAGCCCTTACAATCCTCAACAACACAATAGGCTAGCCATCACCATTGAAGCCATCCGGGCAGAGTAGCAAAGGCGCAAAGCTATTCGCGAGTATTGCCCGAATCAGCGAGCTCGGTGATGGCCGAACACCCGGTCGGCTCGGGTTCCTTTCAAGGTTCCTTCTGTCAAACATAGGGTCTTACGTTGCAGGGAGTTCTGCTAGGAAGCCCTCTTAGCCTCTTGAGATTAGATGTGGTTTGCCCATCTCCCGTATTACCCCGCCTGCGGCTTCCACCTGATTTCCCATCCAGAAGTTCGGAGCCCGAAGGGAGCAGTCGTGCTCTTGTCCAGGCCACAGTTCACCTCACCGGCTACTTTGAGGCTGACGAGCTGGAGGAGGTGGGGGCGGGGGGGGGGGGGGGAGGGGGGGTGAGGCTGACAAGTTTGGTCGCATTTGAGGAAGACTTTGAAGCTTCTCACGACCAGTGCCTTCAGGGAACCCCGCTCTGCGGAAACGCTTCGGAGATCTGGAAGCCCTAGTTTGAGCACTTTTCTCCTGGCTTTGCGGTCAAAACCGTGTCGCCGACATGACATGTGCTGCGAATTTGTTGGCTCGTGCCTTTCTTGGTCGGGTTGGGCAGATCGACGGTTGCCCAGGATGAGCCGCCCCGCCCTGCCGCAGCCCTTGTGGTGAAGCGTGGGGGGGGAGAGGCTACCTTTAGGTGAAGGCCTCCCTTCCGAACGTTTGGTCCTCCAAGAACTAGAGAAGGGACTTTCCGCCCTTTCCGCACTGGGTTGGCTTGATATGCTTTGCAGGCTTTCTGGCTTGGTGGCGTTGGCGTTTCAAGGAAAGGACAAACTGAGTGATGTCAGCCTCAACTGCTCTGTCTGCCACGTAGCAGTCTGCTACCAAATAGCTATTCCACTGTGACAATCCAAAAAGGGAGCCAGGCCCTCCTGACAAGTCTAGTAAGTAAACCAAGAACGCTGGACCATAACAAGAGCGCCCAATCAGCATTTGATGGGGAACAGAGTCCGGTACTGGCCATCTCCGTCGCACGCGGCGACATGCCCTGGTCCAATGAAGGATTATGTACGAGAATTCCTCACACCTGCCGTCTTGTCGCTATGACGGGGTCGCGCCGCTGCTCATCCGAGGCGTCTCCCAAGGCAAAGGCAGAGCCGAAGGCATCTCCCAAGGCCTGGGCTGGGGTTTCACGTAGCCAACTGGCTGGTCAAAACCAATGGTACCATTTGGGGTAGGTGCACCCATTTTAGTGGGGATTGGGATGTTCACTGGGGGTACGATTTGGATTTTGACCCATGGCCAAAGGCACCGCTGCGTCAAAGGCTCGAAAGCGCTTTCGAGCGAGTTCCTTCGCTAGGCGCAGGTGAAGGCCTCGCCGAAGGCAGAGCCGAAGGCCAAGGCCGACGCCAAGGCTGGGAAAGGGGCGGAAGGCAAAGGGCCGTCTTGATTGCTCATTTCGTGTGTGCAGGCCTGTCTCTTCCTCTCTCCTTTATTCCTCTCGTTCTTCCTTTCTGTATTTCTCTCTTTCTCTCCTTCTCTCTCTCTCTTTCTGTCTTTCTTTCTTTCTTTCTTCTTTCTTTCTTTTTCTTTCCTTGATTCTCTCTCTCTCTCTCTCTCTTTCTTTCTTTCTTTCTTTCTTCCTTCCTTCCTTCCGTTCTTTCTTTCTCTTTCTCCCTTTCTTTATTGTTTTTTTTTTGTTTTTGTTTTTGTTTTGTTTTGCGTTTTTTGTTTGCTCTATTTCTTTGTTTCTTGCTTCCTTTCTTTCTTTCTTTCTTTATTTCTTTCTTTCTTTCTTTCTTTCTTTCTTTCTTTCTTTCTTTCTTTCTTTCTTTCTTTCTCTCTCTTTCTCTCTTCCCGTCTTTCTCTCTTTCTGTCTTTCTCTCTTGTTCTTTTTTGCATGTTTGCTTTCTTTATTTATTTTTCTTTCTTTCTGTCTTCCTTCCTTTTTGTTTGTTTGTTTCTTTCTTTCTTTCTTTCTTCCTTCTGTTTTTGCTTTCTCTCTCTCTCTCACTTTGTTGGTGTGCGGATAGGCGGGCACTGGGCACTTGCAGCCTCACCGGGGTGCAGTTTGTCTTTGTGTTTGTGAGCAGCTCTTATTTAGGCGTAGTGCGTTGTGTTTAGTGACGGATACCATTTGGTTTGCGGGTTCAATGGTGGCAAGCTGCTCTATTTTTGTGGGATGTCAGCTTCTTTGTGTTGCATTTGCTGTTTGCTATGCACACGATCAAAGTCAATCATTTGCTGATTGTCCTACACTTCTCAGGAACTCCGTACTTTGAACTGCAAGCCGGCAGTGCGGAAGGTGACAACGAGTGCCCGTAGGGATTTTGCATGACTTGTTATCCATTGGGTTGACCACCCAAACAGTGAGGCGTCTTGTCCTCAGCCGCCAAGGCCAAAGCGAAGGCTGCTGCAGCTGCAGAGGAGGCTGGCTATTGTGTGGCAAAACCTTAAGATGTCCGTGACAAGAAACGAGACATCCATCCCTTGAAAGTTAGTTTTGCTGGGCAGGACTTCAACGAAGAGGTATGTGGCACATGGGCGATTCATCAACTGCCCACCCAAGAGGTATGCTCGTCACTAATCTTGGCTCCCTTCCGCTGCTGTAGATGCAAGCCCTTCTGTTTCAGGGAACACGTGCCTTCCCCCACCCCTTCAGATCTCAAGCGGCGGAAGCCTAGCCGCAGGAGAGCGATGATGATATGGAAGACGAGGAGGGCGAAGAGGAGGAGCCCAAAGTGGTCGACCAGGCAAGCTTGACTTGTAGTTGTGAAGCCTCCCCGCTTTTGCTTGGGTTTGCAGCTTTTGCTGATGTACTGACCAGGATGTGCATGGCAAATTGCCGCCCTCGAAACAAAGGATCAGGCCATAGCGCATGTCTTCCCCCTCCCTGAACCACCCAAATTTTTCGGCGGCGCGTGCCGGCCTCTCTTCACTCGCGGCCGTTTCGCAGACGGTCACTCCGAGGTCGCCAAGGCCTCCCCCAAGGCGGAGCCTAAGAAGGCCTCCCCGAAGGCCGCGCCCAAGGCGGAGCCCAAGAAGGCGCGGTGGCCCCCCCGGAAGAACCCGGTCGATGGCCCCCATAGCCTGCCGGTGCTGTCTTTCTCTGCTTTTTTGGTCCTTTTTTGGTCTTGCTTGAAGGAGGCGCACCAAGGAGTTGCGTGTTAGTGGATGAGCTTCTGCCAGTTTCTGAGCAACTCACATTGCAGATAGCTATGGCTGGCATACAGAGCCAATCAGTGCAGATATGCCCAACTGTCCACAAAAGAGAGTAGCTTTACTCCTGACATGTGAGCATTTTCTGGCATGCGTTGCAAACAATGGCTATACATCATGGCAAGGCAATGAGTATGCCAGAATAATTCTGCTAAACATGCTGCCAACATTGGAGCACACTCGCAACTTGGGTCATGGAAGACTATGCTCGCGCATGTTTATGTTTGCGGCCCCCATTTTGATAGCAGCAGTTGCATTTTCTGCTTGCAACCTTGCCCCTCAAGCTTCTTGTCAGCAAGCCACAAACACACCGAGTATTGACTACGCAGAGACCTTCCGAAACCCCAGGCTGCTGCGGAGGAGGATGATGACGAAGAGGAGGCCTGGGATGCAAATGACCGCGCTATTCTGCGCTGATGTCTTCGGCCATGTTGAAGTTGCCAAGGACGAGGCACAACAGTAGATGCTTGCTAGATATGACAAGTGTGACCAGATTCGATTTGATGGGTGCTGAAGAGCGCCAGCAAATGTGCAGGCCAGTTTCCTGCGACTCATCTCTCACTCTCTTTCTGTCTCTGCCTCTGCCTCTCTTTGTTTGGCGCTTTGGCTCGGGCGGCCTCATTTGAATTTGAGATTTTGAGATTACATCACCAGTGCGTTGTCGATCCAAGTCTAGAGGTCAAAGATGTAGAAGTGAGTCTCAAAATCGGGATGCTCCACCCTTGTCCGCTTGGCTTTGTGGTTTTCTTCAAATCAGTACGCTGCCATAGTCTCTTTTGGAGGGCGATCTGTGCGCATCAAGCGGGCCTCTGCCAGGAAGAGGAGGAAGAAGAGGAAGAGGATGCCCCTTAGCAGCGACTCCATATGTTTGTTATAGACATGCATTATATATATATATATCCCGAAGGGCGCACTTCCAGGCGCCGTTTCGCGCAGGCGAAACGGAAATCTCGGTTTTTTGACCTTCAGCAAAGCGCCTTTCTAGTCAGCCCAAGCACCTTTGAGCAGAGGGTTCCCTTGGGCGTGTTTACTACCATGTTGTGATGTGGGATTCATCAAACAGCGGGTTCCCTCGGGCATGTTTACTACCATGTTGAGATGTGGGATTCATCAAACAGAGGGTTCCCTTGGGCGTGTTTAATATCATGCTGTGATGTGGGACTCATCAAACAGAGGGTTCCCTTGGGTGTGTTTACTGGCATGTTGTGATGTGGGATTCATCCAACAGAGGGTTCCCTTGGGTGTGTTTACTAAGATGATGTGATGTGGGACGCGCTTTATTTACTTTTGGTCAATGCGGAGCCTCCTTTCCCTTTTGGCTGTGATCTTGACCAATGCAAACTCTGCCGCAAAAGCAACCGCCACAACCACAGGGGCAAATATAGCTATTGACGCCATGACGAACCCCTGGCCGAACCAACTTCCAGGCGATCAGCTGCCCTTAAGGCAGGTTGCGGCAGTCAAGCGTCATCACATGAACCCATCAGAAATAAGAACGTTCCGGAACTGGCCGATTTCATAGTATTCTAGACACCATCAGCAAGAGTCCTGCAAAAGGCTGACGAAAACAACGTCAAGAAGTCCACTTGGAACTGCCTGGAAATGACTGGCAGGGTGCATGCAAACAACGGGGGTGCCTGCAAATGCGCCCGTGAGGATATATATATATATATATACATGCGTACATCACCTTCCTGGCAACGCCTTATTTCAATCGCGGATAGAGGGTCCAACTCTGAGCTTCCAGGAAGAAAGGGGGAAAGTCAAGTTCTAAACGATTCCTCCGATCATGAGTAGCTACAGCACAATTAGAGGAGGTGCCTGTATCATATAGCGAGGAAGGAGGTTGAGAGGGCTTTGAACGGCAAAGATCAATGTAAGCTGAGTAGGAAGTCAGCGCCTTGTGTCCGCCAAGGATGCTGTCGTGGATCCCGTGGTCAAGGGTCCCGCACTTGATGGTGGACATGGGTGTTGGGGGGTAGGGGTGTGCGCTTTCTTGGCTTTCTAGGCAAAGCACTGATGGCTGAACTTGATGAGCAAAATTACTGAGGTATTCAATGCCTATTTGGCGGAGCCAGAAAAAGCCAAACAGCCAAGAGACTACAGCGACAGCAAGTGCTCCTGATAACCTCACGGCTTTGGCACAGCGTTGCAGATACTTTGATAGATTGCAAACGAATGCCCGCGCGCACACACATTCACACACATTCACACACACACACACACACTCACCCACCCCCACCCCCACAGCCCCACACCCACACCCACACCCACACCCACACCCACGCCCACACCCACACCCACACCCTTAAACTCCAGATGGAGAGTGCTAATCTTTCGAGTACAACTGATGAGTCTCGAGTACAACTGATGAGTCTCGAGTACAACTGACAAGTCTAAAGTCGGATAAGGTTCGGCTGGCAGGTCACTTGGCTTCACTCTAGTGTCGAAAACGTTACAAGTTCCAACATGAAGCACACACAGCGAGCGAAAGAAGAGGGCCAAAAGGACTTTCATCAACATCACTTCACAAAAGCAGGTACACACGGGTGATCAATCCGTGCATCCACCATCAAGCATAGCTTCGTTGGCCAGCGTTTGCTTGATGGCCGCTGGCCCGCTGCTTCCAAAACCGGCACAAGGTGGTGACAGGGTATTCTGTCACTCCGCACACACACGCCCCTCACAGAGGGGCGAGAAGTCTCTTTTTCGGGGGGAGAAAAAACCACGCGCCCCAAAACCGGGCGAAGACCCCAACAGAAAACAAACGGAGCAAGGGAGCCCAAAAGAAACAGAAAGGCCCCAGGTTGGGTCTCCGCGGGCAAAACCCCAAACAAGAAACAAGAACAACGGGGAAGCCAGGTTTCGGGTCTCCGAGGGCAACAACCCCAAACAGCGCAAAACGACCTAGACCTTGTAGACGAAAGGGGCCGCGAAGGCAAAGAGGCAGAAGAGGAACAGGCCATCCCTAACCGGAAGTACAAGAGATAGCCCAGAGAGGGAAGGAAAAAGAAAGGAAAGAAAAGAAAGGCACGAAAGAGAGAAAGAAAGAGAGAGAGAGAGAGACAGACACAGAAAGAGAGAGAGAGAAAGAGAGAGAGAGACAGAAGCGTATTTAGGGCGTCGCAACCGCCCGGGGGAAAAAGAAAGGAGCAGGGTGCGTATTTAGGGCGCCGCATCCCGCCCGGGAAGAAGGAAAAAGAAGCAGAAGGCAAGAAGACAAAAAGGAGAAAAGAAGGAAGAAGGAAGAAGAAGGAAGAGGAAGAGGGAAGTAGTAGTAGTAGTATGCGTTTTTAGGGCGACGCATCCCGCCCAGACAGGAACAGAGGATGAAGACCAGGGCTCGCGGAGAAAGACGTCGAATCCCACACAGGGGCCAAGAGGACGGACCCGAAGTAGCAACGGAAGGGGAAGAAGACGTCAAGCCAAACTACGTGAGGAAGAAGAGGAGTAGGAACAGGAAGACAGACACGAAGACGAAGACGAGGAAAAAGGTGAACAACGCGAGGACAACCAGGCCATCCCTAAGCGGGCGAACAGGAGCGGGACGAACGCGCGGGTCACGAAAGGCAGCAAAAAGAGAACGGGAGGAAGGAGAAGCCATCCCTAAGCGGGCGAAAAACCAGAAGACGGGCACGCGGATGAAGAAGGCGAGAAGAAAGAACGTAGGGTGAGACGTCGCTATGATCTGACCGCTGTCTTCCCTTTAGTGAAACCTCGCTCCTGGTTAAATGTGAAATTCCGCCGTTCTATGATAAGCACGTTGAGGTCAAATTTTCCGACAGAGCCGGCCCGGGGTCACACAATGGGTACACCCGAGGATTCCCCACGAATGGGGTGTACACACTTAAACTCCAGATGGAGAGTGCTAATCTTTCGAGTACAACTGATGAGTCTCGAGTACAACTGATGAGTCTCGAGTACAACTGACAAGTCTAAAGTCGGATAAGGTTCGGCTGGCAGGTCACTTGGCTTCACTCTAGTGTCGAAAACGTTACAAGTTCCAACATGAAGCACACACAGCGAGCGAAAGGAGAGGGCCAAAAGGACTTTCATCAACATCACTTCACAAAAGCAGGTACACACGGGTGATCAATCCGTGCATCCACCATCAAGCATAGCTTCGTTGGCCAGCGTTTGCTTGATGGCCGCTGGCCCCCTGCTTCCAAAACCGGCACAAGGTGGTGACAGGGTATTCTGTCACTCCGCACACACACACACACACCCACGCACGCACGCACGCACGACGCACGCACGCACGCACGCACGCACGCACGCACGCACGCACGCACGCACGCACGCACGCACGCACGCACGCACGCACGCACGCCCGCACGCACGCACGCACGCACGCACGCACGCACGCACGCACGCACGCCACCCACGCACGCACGCACGCACGCACGCACGCACGCACGCACGCACGCACGCACGCACGCACGCACGCACGCACGCACGCACGCACGCACGCACGCACGCACGCACGCACGCACAAACAAGCACACACCGCCACCACCGCACACCGCCACGCGCACACGCGCACACGCGCACACGCGCACACGCGCACACGCACACGCACACGCTCACGCACCACGCACGTGGCACAAGCCTCGCACACGCTTGGCCCCACGCCAACGCCCACGGCCCCCGCGCACGCGCAACCGCCACCGCACCCGCACCCGCACCCGCACCCGCACCGCACCCGCACCCGCCCCCGCACCCGCACCCGCACCCACCCGCGCACGCGCAACGCGCACGGCACGGTCGCACGCGCACGCGCACGCGCACGCGCACGCGCACGCACACGCACACGCACACGCACACGCACACGCACACGCACACGCACACGCACACGCACACGCCCGCGCACCCGCGCGCGTCCGCGCTCGCCCGCGCGCGCCTGCACGCACCCGCACGCACCCGCACACACCCGCACGCACACGCGCACGCACACGCGCACGCACACGCGTGCGCGTGCACTCACGCGGGCACTCACGCG